GATACATGGAAGGCTGTCTAGAAGGACTCAGTGGGGAAATCTGTGTAGTCTACCTTGATGATGTCCTGGTCTATGGTCGGACTTTCGAAGAACACCTGGAGAATGTCCAGAAAGTACTGCAACGCCTACAGCAGCATGGTATCAAACTGAAGTCAGCCAAGTGTCACCTGTTCCTGAAGGAAGTCCGTTATCTCGGGAGACTGGTCTCAGCTGCAGGACACAGAGCGGACCCTGCAGACACTGCAGCTTTGCAGGCAATCAAGATGAAAACACCTGCAAATGTCGGTGATGTGAGAAAGGTGCTTGGACTTTTGGGATACTACCGGCAGTACTTGGAAAACTTCTCCTCCAGGGCAAAGCCACTGTACGAGCTGCTGTCTGTATCAAGAAGTTCAAATGCCAAACCAGATCCAGTACCGACCAAGAAACAGACGAAGAAAAGGACATCCCCTTCCGCTAAGAAGTCAGGACAGCTCCCTTCGCACCAGCCAGTGACATGGACTCCACAACATCAGGAAATTCTCAACTCCCTAATAGACCGTCTCATGCAACCACCAGTGATGGCTTTCCCGGACTTCACCCAGCCTTTCTTCTTGACCACAGATGCATCTCAGGAGGGCCTGGGTGCTGTACTATACCAGAAACAAGAAGGGAAAACCAGAGTGATCGGTTTCGGGTCCAGAACACTTAGCCCAGCAGAGAAAAACTACCATCTGCACTCGGGGAAGTTGGAATTCCTGGCCCTGAAATGGGCGATAACAGATAAGTTTCGAGACTATCTGTTCTACGCACCATCATTTGTAGTCTACACAGACAACAACCCTTTGACATACATCCTTTCCACCGCAAGACTGAATGCAACAGGTCATCGCTGGGTTGCTGAACTTGCCGATTTCCGGTTCTCTATCAAATACAGACCGGGGAAAAGCAACAGAGATGCAGATGCCCTGTCCCGCATTCCCATGGACTTTGATGCATATGCAGCCTTGTGTACACAAGAAATTACACCCAATGCGCTCACAGCAACAGTTCAAGGCATTAATGCCTTCAGCAAGCATCAAGTTTCCTGGGCTGCAGCTATTGGTGTGGATGATGAGTCTCTGCACCCAGAGGAGAAAACCCCAGTCCCAATACAACCTGTCCTCAATAGAGCCTCACTTGCACAGTCGCAGCGGGAAGATGGTGCAATCAGTCGTGTCATCCATTACCAGACTTTGAAGAAACGACCATCCAGACAACAGCGACAAGAGGACTTACCAGAGACACGAGCACTGATGAGGGAGTGGGACCAGCTTCAGCTGGATACAGATGGCATCCTCATCAGGAAGACTCAGTCCCGTAAGCAGGTAGTCCTCCCACAGAAGTACAGGGCCAGGGTTCTCAAGGAACTACACGATGAGATGGGACACCTTGGCGCAGAACGGGTCGTTAACCTAGCAAGGGATCGCTTCTTTTGGCCGCACATGGCTCGAGACATCGAGACATATGTGACCAAAGAATGCAGATGTCTTAAAAACAAACGTCCCAACATTCCAACCAGAGCCCCACTGTCTAGCATCACCACCACTGAACCCTTCGAGCTAATTTCTATTGATTTTCTGCATCTGGAGAAGTGCAAGGGAGGATACCAATACATTCTAGTGATCATGGACCACTTCACCCGATTTGCACAATGCTACCCGACGACAAACAAATCTGGCAAGACAGTGGCCCAGGTGATATTCAACGACTTCGTTCTCCGATTTGGGTTTCCAAAGAAGATACACCACGATCAGGGTGGGGAATTTGAGAATCACCTGTTTCGCGAGCTAGAACAGTGCAGCGGCATTGGCCACTCCCGAACAACGCCCTATCACCCACAGGGGAACGGCCAGGTGGAGAGATTCAACCGGACTCTACTTCAGATGCTGAGGACCCTAACAGATGAAGAAAAGGCCCGGTGGAAGGACTCCCTCAACAAGGTAGTGTTCGCCTATAATAGCACAAAACAGGAGACAACAGGGTATTCGCCATTTTATCTTCTGTTTGGCCGAGCCCCTCGTCTTCCGGTCGACTTGCTGTTTGGTCTGACGCCAGGTTCCGGAACCCACTGTTCAAATCCCAGTCCGAAGAAGTATGTGGACCAATGGCAGAAAAAGCTTCAGGAGGCCTATGAAATCGTGAGAGGGAGAGCAGAGAAAGCCGGAACACGGGCCAGAGGTTATTACGACAGGAAGGCAAACTCCAGTTGTCTTAAGGCCGGTGACCGTGTTCTTGTTCGACGTTTGGCGCTCCCTGGAGGTCCCAGTAAGCTGGAATCTTATTGGGAGAAGCAGATCCATGTGGTCATCCAGAGGAAAGGTGACATGCCGGTGTATGATGTACAACCAGAAGACAACTCTGGTAGAGTTCGTACTCTTCATCGGAACCATCTCCTTCCATGCGAGTGTCTAGCTCCAGACAAACCGGAACCACAGATAGAACGCAAGAAACCACGCAAGGTGACTCGCTCCCATCCCAAGCCTCAGTATCAAGACCAATCCAGTGACGACAGTTCTGCAGAAGAGAACGTCACGTGGATGGGTTTCCAGGAAACAGATGAACTGACGTCAGATCGACCTACTCATCTTCGACCCGAGGCAGTCCCCTTCCAACCTGATGCCCAAGCACCTGGCGAGGATGACACAATGGATCTTGACCCTAGTGATGAATTGGCCCCAGATGAGCCCATCCCTACTCATGAACCTGCAGAAGCAGAGATCAAGGATGAGCCAGAAGTGAGTCAAGATACAGTCTCAGACCCAGGTGAGGATGATCCAATCGAACGTCCAGTGCGAAATAGACAAGCCCCAGCCAGATTTACCTATGATGTCCTGGGTGAGCCAAAAGTGAATCATGTTCAGCATTCAGCCACTCCAACTGTTGTGCCTCAGCCACAGATGCCACACCAAGGACCATGGCCAAATGCCCTAATGACCCGTGCAGGTGGCTGGACATGGTTACCGCAGATTCAAAACTTTGCATGGATACCACCTATGAATCAGTTCCCTTACGTGTATCCTCCTAATGGACCAGTCCCATTGATGTACCCTCAGAAGGGGCCTGTCCCAGAGATGTTACCCCACGGATAGGAGTGTCATTCATGTACAGATGTTCCGAAGGCCAGATGGCAGAAATTTGGTTGTTGACTACGACAAGTGAAAAGGAGTTACGGATGGACTGGATTAGGCTGGCCAGCAAAGGATACTTGGAGACATTCGTGAACACTTGCGGTTTGATGGGTTCTAACCCACCTACGAGTTAAATACGATGAGGAGTCTCCATCAAAAGTTAACGCCATCCTGTAACAGAGACACTTGTTAGGCTTCAAAGTGTTGCATTTGCATTAACAATGTTGGAAGGCTCGGAAACTATAGAATGATCCTTTTGATCTAGAAGTCCTTGGCCTCCAAGAATTAGCTACTCTAGGACCCTTGACTTCGATATTCATGCAGTGCCTGGGAAACACTACTGAATAGCATACAGTTTGTTTGCATTTCTGAGCTAGATATTTCCTATGTCCCACTTGTGCACTGAAGCATTTATAGTTTTGATGTTTGTAAATAGTTTAAGTTAATTTTTTTTTCCTTAAGAATTAAGTGTAGCCATGTAACAATTTTTTTCCCCAGTTTAGACCGTCGTGAAAGTTTTCTTGATTTTTTTTCATAATTGTGGTATTTTCAGAAATGTTTGGGACAACATTTATTTTTTGGGGGGCGCATGTAGGGACCCGATCTGCTCCTCCCCACACAAAATTGTTGCACCCCTATTTTATTTTTGGAATAGTCCTACTAGCTAGTACTTGTACCTGCACAACATGTGGCCTACTTGTGGTCATTCTTGAATAAGACCACACTGAGAGAACATCATATTCATCTCTCCCTGTTGCAGGTATGTTGAAGATTATTCTTTTAATTTTGATACGTTCAAGTTGACAATACTTTTCACTTGTATATATTTTCTCTCTGTTAATGCATTTTAGCTGAACTAGATAACAGAATTAGCCATTGGATAAGGTTTTGATCTAGGAAGATACTGTGTTCTTGAGACATGTGAGATGGTGTTTAACTGAATAAGGATCATGGCTAAGTACAAGTTGAGAACAGAAGTAACAGTGATTTATCAGTTCTTTTCTAATTCAATTTTATACTTTTGTTACATTACTTTGTAGATTTCTTTATTAATCATCTCTTTAACTTTTATCTAGTTAGCATATAAGTTACTTTTAAATCTAGTATTAGAAGTACAGTATTTCCTGTACTGAGTGCACCTTTAAGTATTAATAGTTAAGATGAAATGGAAGTTATGGTTTGTCCCCAGTACTGAATTTAGACCACTTGATAGATAGAACGAGATGGAGTTAGAATAGAATAAGTATTGTAATTTTCACACTTTTCTGTGCAGTCTTTTGACCAAGGACATTTGTGTAAAGAGGAACGGTTTGTGTAGTGAAACAATGTTGCCAGTGATTATGCCTCAGGCACTTACACTGTTGAGCATGGGCATGGTAAAAAGTGTTGGTGCATAAATACTTAGTTGGCCAGAAACCCCCCCTGGGGTGGGACCACTACTGTATATAGAGGATTGCGGTCCAGCACCAGATGTTAAATCCATTATCTAAGACAGTAGTTCTTTGTTTAGATAAGGAGACCAGAGCTCAGTGCTACCAAACCTCTAGGCAATGTTTCCATGGTAACAAGACTTTTGGCCAGAAGAATTCTGCACGTTGTTACTCAATTGTTAAATAGGCTAGTCTTGTGTATTTCTACTATGGCCACACCAGTTATTTTAGTTGTTTCCATTAGCTATGTACATCTGTTATATCATGTTATATGTTTATTGAATAATGTTATTTCTATTGTGTATCATTGTAAAATGATTGATTCTTGAATAAGACCACACTGAGAGAACATCATATTCATCTCTCCCTGTTGCAGGTGTAACAAATGCAACACAAGTACAAACAGCGTCGACATTTTTACCTGAAGTATTTTTCCATTCCTTGAACGATGAACGTGACTGCATTCCCTTGTAGTATTTGCTGTGTGTTTCTGGCGTACGTCCGTAAGGACTCCTGGCCTGTGCAGTAAGCACCCTGTTGCTCCTATACTCAGAGATGCAAGATAACACGGGAAATGTTAATCAGCAGATGGTACGTAGTGCACATTCGTAAAAGTTGAACATATTTCAACTCAGGCGAATTTCGCAGCGAACGTTTCATGACATCGAATTCCCTTCGCATTCGCATGAAGTATGAACCGGGCTTAAGATGTGTACATCTGTACCTGTTTGAATGCGTGCACCAAGTCAACAAAGCTGGCCACAGAAAGCTGAATAAGTGCTTCGCACTCCTCCTTCTCATGCTGTAGAGTCTGCAACTAAACACAAATATAAATATTGCAGTCGGGGATAAGAGACAATGATTAACGCACAGTGTGAAATGCGAGCACTATCTGCCTTCAAACCTCAACTGTTGTTTTAAGGCTTAGAGTCTGCGATGGTACGATACATGGTGTTTCTCTGGCCTACTCATGAGAATGCCAATAAAAAAAATGGCCTGCTTCCTATTCTTGATTGTCTTGCTTGCGAAGAGGTAAAAAAATTGATGGGAGGCAAAAAAGGGTGAAATAGAAGAGGCAAAGGTATTTTTGTTTGTTGAGCATGCTGCTGATCCATTTAATAGAGTGACAGAGTTTATGAGTGGGTTTTTAAGAAGTATTCTTTATTTGTCACTACCTGCAAATCATCTCCCAGATTGTGTTGCATGACTTGTCGTCTCCACGTTATACTCCCAGGGATGGCCTGAGATTCAACGGCCGTTTTGCTGTTGAGTTCCTGCAGTTTGGCCAGCAAGGTAGCACCAACAGAATCCTCTAACAGTAACGGATCTATCACGACAGTAATGTACTGTTCACGGGGGAAAAAGTACAAGATGAAAATGTGTTGGAATTTATAGAAAAATCTGTGGTGACTTCGGTCACTGCACCAGCTAAACTCACTCCCGAAATGGAGAACTACGCACTTTCTTGTTGGCACATGATGGTTATTGCAGTTTTCTTGGTCATATCTAATCAAATATGCGAGGTTTGGGGTAGGAATCAGGTCACAAGTCTGTATTTTTCTGAATGTAACATAAATGTACAGGGTGGTGCCAAAAGAAGGAAACCCACTTTTTAAAGTAATTTTCAACTACTTGTTGAGCATATTTCAAAAATACTGATCTTTAAACATAAGTGACGAAAAAATAATTGCAAATGCATATTTTGTCTCTGAGATATGGTAGTTTAAAATTTCATGTGCCAAATCTGTTTGTCCGTGGACGGCTTTACTCCACCCGCTTGACTGAGCTTCAGAGCTTGATTTGAAGACTAAAAACACTACATAAGACTTACACGTTGACAACAGTATTTTTGGTGACTTGTATTCGAATAAGCATAATAACACTATTCTTGCAATTATATTATAGATTTTTTCACCATGTATGGTTGAAGAGCTATACTTCACTACATTAATTTAAACAAAAGGTCAAATAAGTTAAGTAAGTAGGCTAAAATTCCTGTCAAAAGTGGGTTTCCTTCTTTTAGCACCACCTTGTAGCAAACAATGAAAAAGTGACTACATAGCAAAAGATAATTTCACCAGGTGACTTAATCGCCAACCCATACCTTACCTTCATACATTCCTCAGGCTTGTCTGCTTTATGTGCTTCTCGGAGTGCCTGAACAAGAACACACAAAATTATACTGTTTAACTGTTGGCTTTGCGCTAACAGATTGCAGATTGGCAGTGCGCAAATGAGATACCGTGCAGTGTTGCAGCTCATGCTATTTAACTGTGAACCGCAAAACGAGCACGAGTGGAACATGGAATAATGTAGTGCGTTTTTTTGCCATACGTGTATGCCACAAGGCAGAAGGCTTAGTGGTATATGGGACACAGAAGCACTACATTTTCCGTGTTCTACGAGCATGAGTGGGACAACAAATTTATATTCAAGCAAACTTGAAACACAGTAAAGATGGAATCCACACGCTGCACACGAACTTTTCAGCAGTTATCATATTACACATGTGCGTGCAGCAGGATTATTAAATCGTGTGCTTGGATACTGTAATTTCATTGGTCTAAAACGGTCACGTGTCTGGACAATAAAAATGCTTGTCACATACTGAGGGTAATATCGCACTGCGTTCATTGTGCGCGTTGCGCGCGTGTGGAACCTGCCACTGCCAGCGTGCTACAGCTTTGCGCAATGAGAAATGCAATGTGAAACACTCAGTCTCATGTCCGGCAGAACATCAAAACCTTCAGTTGTCAAAGATTACATCGCAGAGATTTAATTTATTTCTCACACAGTAAGTTAAAACCATTTGTCTTTTTGAGTTATTGGCACCATATAACAAAACAATTGTTGGCTGCCGTGATGTGGGATATGACGTTTTGAACACCCTCTGGGCGCATAGCACCCTCGGCTTCACCTCAGGTGCTATGCACCTCTCGGGTGTTAAAAACGTCGTATGCCACATCATCCCAGTCAACAATTGATAAACGGCACGTGCATCTTAGAATAGCACGATATCATATGTGAAGTGCGATATGGACCGTGGTATAAGGGATATCACACTGTTGTTGCCATGGATCGACCAATCAGGATCGAGGATTAAAGTTTGCTTGAAGATAAAGACTTCACAACTCTTCATTTTATATTCAACACTTCAAATCAAGTCACTATTTAACTTAAACCATCCCCAAAATGCCGAAACGTCATCATTTACCCTTTGTACTTGTGCCTCTCGTTGCTTCTGCTGTTTCCTCTCCTCCAGTTGTCTCATCTTCTGCTGCTTCTCCTGATCTTTTTGAGCTCGTCTCTCCTGGTAAGAAGGGGAAAAAATAACGTTCTATCATTTATCCTTCACGTTCAACAAATAAACCACAAAATATGAAGACAATTTTTAAGGGTTTGCCTGCTCAGATGGTGGAGCACTAGTTAGGCGAAGTAAAAAAAACAACATGTTTCTCGTCCCCGCCTGCTTCCTTTTTGGAGGCCGCCTGGATTTTTTTATTATTTTTTATTTTTAAAAAATCCAGTAAAAAAACACAGAAAAAGTCCACAAATTCATCTGAAAAGAAATACTTGCGAAAATCTGTTCATTGTAGACCAATACAACTCAAAATGACACTGTAAATATGTTCAGTTCTCTTGTCCAACTTGTCTTTCATTTTAAAAGTGTCTTTGAACAGTGGAAACACCAACGGTTGCAGAAAATTTTAAAATGGCGGCCATCTTGACCAAAATAAAAAATAAAAAGCCCCTCTTCCTCCTTTTTTTCAAAAACCCGGACGAGAAACATGTTTTTTTTTTATTTGGCCTCAGGAGTTATCATAGGTTACAGGTTTAGAGTTTGTTTCAGTTAAGTTTGTCTATTTAACAGATGATTGATTAAAAATGTTCTGATGTAGTTTATCTATTCCCAAACATATAAGATTTGAGGCTTTGCATGGTGGAGTATCAGTATCGTTTTGGTTTGCGGTAACACCATGTGGTAATTAATAACTACTGTTGCTCAGTAGATATTTAGTTGCGACAAGAACTTGTCCTGCTTATTATCAACTTTGGCTAAGTAGTTTCTGATGATAAGAACAGTCCTGCTTAGTTCTAAAAGAACTTGTCTTTGGTCTCAATGTTTCGACTAGCCTGCTCTAGTCGTCGTCAGGAGACTGAGGAGAGTTGGAGATGCTGCTCCTTAAGTAGGCTTGAGAAATCAGAACTGATTTTGTTTGGCAAGTAAATTTGGGGGAAACAAAGATAAATTTAACTGCTGCAAAATAAATCATCAACAAGTTTCGGATGATGGGTGGGCGGGGGCAGGGGTAGGAGGTTCATGGGGTAGGGCTGGGAGCATGCTGGACAATGGTTAGTAAGAATGCATCCCATAGACCTTTAACATGCTGCCACCATTTCAGTCATGTTCCCTGTATTCAATAACAGTACTGAATGATCATGTTTTTTGTGCAAAAAGGAACCAGACTATTTTTCCTGATTTGAATGGGAAAAAATCAAGATGGCCGCAACATGACAATGGTCTATAAGGAAGTGCTTCATTTCACATACCTCAATATTAAAAAAAGGAGTTTACCAAATACAGTACATGAATTCAATACTACAGATTCCTACGAAGAAATACTGAGGTCTTCAATCTCACCAGTGCTTGTTGCTTGGCAGCTACAATCTCTTCCGGACTTCGCTTGGCTTTCTTCCTGACAGGCGCCGTGTCATAACTACTCTCTTGAGAAAGAGCACTGCTACTACACGATGTACCCTGAGAAGAGTGTAATGTCTGCTCGTCTTCTTGCCACCTTGATGCACAGTGTCCTGATTCGGGCAGACGAGAGTGACAAGTTGATGAAGAATTTGTTCTCACGGAAGCATCGTCCTCGTCATCTGACGAAATGTCGTGGTACTTTTTCGAACCAGTCTTGGGACAGTCTGTTTTCTTTCTGTCATGGGAAAGATTGGCAACATTCCTATCGGAGGCCTTGTAGCTTTGGTAATCGTTTTTAGTAGTTGTGACGCCACAAGTGTCTGCCTTGTCTTGAGGGTGACTGGATCGGTAGTTTTCAACAACAGTTTGATGATTTTTGGTCTGTTTGCTGCGTATTCGGTGAAGTAACGACAAGGTGATGCCTTCTTCTTCATCACTAGAAATTGACATGGGACTGCATCCACCATTGGAATCCATTGTATTATTCCCTGAGCGACAATCGCCTTGATCAGGAAGTCCTACCGTTTCAATGCCTTCGAAGTTAATTTCTTTCTCAAAAGTCTCGGAACCCTGTATTTTGTCCAGCTGCTTTCCAGTTGAGTGATGAACCACATTAGCATTGTGTTCTAAGATGTCGTATTCTGGCGATGTTCCAGTTCTTCTCAAGCTCCGTTCTGATAAATCTTGGCTGGGGGAGCGATTCTCGGTGTTGGAATTTTCACTGTCAGAGTCACGACTTGATAGCGATATAGGACTGCAAGTACTGGGACCTTCACCAGATTCAAAGTTAGGAGATGGAGACCATGCCACTACCTCTGTAAAAAGAACACACACAAAAGTAAATGAAGTTGTAGAAAAGCTTCTCAAGAAAAGTGTGTGGTCTCATCGTGGCAAGATATCTCCTTTAAATATCCTTAAAGGAACATGTTACCTCATTGATAGTCCGAAAATTTGGGACTTTCGATTCTGTGTATGAGAGTCCCAAAACTTAAGGTATTGAAAACATGCAATACAAGAAAATAGACTGGCATCTGAAACAACCAGTCCAACAACCCTTCAGTACTGCAAAATTAACTGTGCCAAAAGAAACATCTGGCATGTCTGGTACTGGTCTCTAATATTTCTACACATTTCTCCATAGTCAGCTACCAGACTAATGAAGAGGTCAGTTTTTTCAAACAGTTGGACCATGGTTGGACATGTACCAGTCTAGTCATTGGCCTGAAGTTGATATCAATTGACTTCCCTCTCAGGTGCAAAATATTGAAGAAAAGTCTGCTTTAAATATTGAATTGAGACTTCAATCTTGCTTGGTGAAATACTGAGGACGTTGTCTTTGCCTCATGAAACAAATTTGAGAATTTTGTCAGACAAAGAGTTGGCCTGATTTCGTTTTGCATGTTTTTCAGCACACACGGTTCCAGTCCACCTCACTGATAGCCTTTCGCCAAGGCCATCGTGGCTTAAACAGGCATTATTAGACGGAGCAGAGAGGCCGCGAAGTGACTGGAGCAGAGACCACACACACGAGTGGTGAAGCCACGATGCCTCTTCCAACTTGTCAGGAATTTATGTTTTTCTTTATTTCAGCTACCCTAAAAGGGTAGCAAAATTCCAACCAATCATTAGCCTTATAAATACGCGCGTAAGCACGCGCGCACACGCCTAAATGGAGTTAGAAAAGGCCTCATGGCTTCACCACTACGAACACTGGCTTGGTCTTTGCTCAAGTCGCTTCATGATTTTGCAGCTTCGCCGCTCTAAGCCACAGAGGCCTTGGCAAAAGGCTACCTAACTGACTGACTGTCACTTGTGAATTGGACATGAACTTTCATGATACACATGTGCACATGTAGGCAGTGAGTGGAGACTCCCACGCGAACGGCAACATTTCCTTTTTTCTTTTCCATCATGTTATCACTACCGCTTTCACTACAAACTTTTTGGCCATTCCGAATCAATAAATATACAACTGTGTGGGTTTTGGGACCAGCTTTACTAGACTTGCCAAGTCTTTGTTAGCCCCAAAATGCAAATCACCCAAGTGGTCTTTACCCAAGGCTTAACAGCAGTTGTTTTGGCAGCATTTTGAAAAGTTGCATGAGTATATCTGCTTATGAACAAACCTTCATCAAAACTGCTTAAATCTTGCCGCGTAACTCTCTGACGAAGGCTAATATCTGGCAGGTCACTGCAATCGCTAGCATCATCAGAATCAGTATGCTTATCAGAACAAGTGTCTGTACTGCTTCCGCACCCGGTAATTCCAAAATCGTGCTGATGCAATCTGCTGTTATGGTTGTCCTGATTTCTTGGTTGATGATGGGATGAGAGCTCCTTTTCATTCAATGGAGTTGGGGATGAAAGTTGTCTTTCAGCTACTGCGGGCGGCAGCTCGTGTTGTGGTGCAGCGCCAACTAGAAACTGGAAATTGAAAACAACAATCATATAACTGAGCGCTAAAAATTAGAAAGTTCCCAAAACTGAGTGATACATTTACTATCTAAAGTGAATCCTCCAGAGCTATGAATCAAATGAAATATTCTGCAATGAAATGTAGGATTTGATTTCAAGCAACTTCAAGGGGGCTGGCACCATATTTCAATAGGGGGCGCTGTTCAAATTTGACGATTAGTAACTCCAGATTACAGAATGGTGTACAAATGCCCACTATCTAAGCTGCCTCTGTCCGTATGTTGAACAGGCGGGCATTATACCAGTATATTTATTTTTTGGGAGTGTCAGAGCAGGGGGGGTTCGCATTATTTTTTAGGAATTTCTGTGAAAAAAATTGTGGAAAGAGCTGGGTTTTTTTACCCCCCCCCCCCGATCCGCGCCTGACCACTGCCCTCTGACTCCCCTCAAGTCAGTGATTAGCAAACTACCTACACAAGAATCTTTCAACGTCATTGTTTTAGGATACGTTGTACTTAAAGGAAAGATTCCCATATCTGGCCATCACTAATTTTTCCCTTTAGTGACCTGTCAGCCATCAGAAAGTGCTAAAATTGTAAAAAGTCAAATTTAACAGGGAAAATATTGTTGAAGTATTTACTAAGAAAACACTTACAAATTTTCAGACCCGTCTCAGACATATGTTGGTGTTCCCTAACGTGGCGCACTTCGATGTTTGGCTGACTTTCCTCGTGTAGTGTTGCCAAACCACTTTGGTGACAAACCTCAAATTCATGCAGTGAAATACTGGTACTTTGACCTTATTAATGCTCGTTATTTAACCTCTGTGAATAATATTGGTTTCATGAAATTTAATCCGAAATTTAATCCGAAATTCAAAAAAGGTGGCATCCGGAAATTGGGCACAAATTGGCGGAGTGTTCCCTAACGTGGCACACTTGAATAAATCTCGGAAAATTCCAAATTGACATTTAAGAATTCCTGTAAAGTTGATAGATTCTGATAAACCATTATTATCTCTACTTACATACAGAACCAGAAGTTTGTCAGAATTTTTTTCTTATTTTTCGGGGCATTTTCAAAGGGTTCACTTTGCACTTCAAAATAAAATCGGAAAATCACGCCAATATGAATTTTTCTTCTAACTTTGACTTTGTAACGGGTAGACAAACTCGCGATTTATGAACGGGAGTGTTAAGAACTTGATGAAATTTCCCTTTCTGTGAAATTTCAGTTAAAACTTTTGCTCTAGGTAGGCGCTACAGGCGAAAATCAAAGTGCGCCAAGTTGGGGGCCGCGCCACGTTAGGATACATCAACAATACTACTACTAGGGAGTAGGGTTTGTGCAAATTACCGGTTTGTGCACAGCATGCACAGGGTGACAAGTGATGGCCAGATGGGCAATGATGGGAATCTTTCCTACTTAACTTATGAATGCCAAACTACAAAGTACCAAGGTAACAACAGTAACAGGGACAGGATAGAATACTACCCTGAACTAAATTGATAGTAGGCCCTAGTATCCATGGTATCGGTCTCCCAAAACTAAGGTGTTCACAAAATCACAACAGCCTACTACTAGTACTAGCCTACATTCATGAAAAATAATAACGCACATTGCCTTCGAAGATTCGGTTGATAGTCTCCTGAACGTCTGCCGTCACCGATAAATCTCTTTCAATATCTGCTCTTGGAATGTCTGGACACACCATCAACACCTGCTCCACCTGCTCAGCCAGATCCATTGAGAATAAACAAAGGCAATTGTCTAATTTAACTTCATCCAGGCATCTGTCGATACTTTGTCAAGAACTGCGATTCAACACTCGCGCACAAAATGCATTCATGACAGAATGACAGTCTCATGGCCACCAGAGGGCGGTATGCACACCTGACGGTCAAACTTTTACGAGCAAGCGCATGGCGTTTCCGAAACCCAGGCTACTCGAACGCATCGACTCGACTCGACCTTCTCGACCAAATGACTCGACTCACAAAATTCAGTGACACGCTACAACTCTGTATAACACTAGAATGTTTGAAGTGTCTTTCTTTGGGGAAACATTCTGAAATTCACGCATTAGTTTTTCATTGGTTCGTCTCAAAAGTGACAACCAATGGGCCACTTTCAGACAGCCCCCCAAAAGCAGATTTCACACCGGGGTTCATTTCATCCCGCCACGTAACAGGCCTTTCTCCCAGCAGCTCATCAGCGGTGTTTCTTTGTAATATGGGGAACTTTTGATTTCGTAATATTTTCTTAAAATGTCGAGGTTTTACTTTTAGTCAGTTTATAAAATAATAGAAAACAAAGAACGCAACTATCAAACTCACAAAAGACTTCTGTGAATTGTTGTTTTTTAATAATTGTGGAAATACACATACAGCATAGACGAATTTACAAACAACACATTCCCTTTTATTTATTTATCAATAAGTTATGATTTTAAAAAAAATGGTGTACCTTCTAATCTTCCAAATACAGTGTGTAGTCTTTGTCAGCACTGATGTTTACAAAGCAAAAATTTGACATTTTATGACCAAAGAAAAAAAAAATCAGGAATACTCTTAATTCTCAAATTTAGATAGGGAACTACAGCAATCAAAATTGACAATTAATTTCTTGGCAAATCAGGCACATTGGGGGGGGGGGGGAGGGGATAAGTTTACAGTTTTACAACCCAAATATAAGGGTCTTTTTTGTTAAACACCGCAGTTCCTGCCTGCATTGTGAATTAACCTTATTGATTTCCATAGTCTTACTATATATGAAGGAATATTATCAAAGAATGTCTATAGTTGGGCGTGCCCAACTGTGTTACTGCAGTTTGGACTGACCCAGCTATAGTTACAATAATTGAGATGTAACATTTGTAAGTTAAAAAGGGTAATCATGATATACACATGGATCTATTTTTGCACATTGTGTTCTAACAGCTAATACCGAAGGTTGCAGCTGCTTCGTTTGACACCAAACATCTGACTGATACTTTCCTGAAAATAAAACTTTTGAGAGAGTGGTGTATTTGTGCTATTGTGGGAATTGTTTGTTTGAATCTTTGAACAGGGTGTTCCCCCCAACATAGTTGTGCAAGCAGATATCCTTTAATTTCTCAAAAACTACTTAACATGAGTATTTCATCTTGATGGAGCATATTAATTATACTCTTGTGCATAATCAGTGAAAGTGCCATGGAAATCCGTTTTGCGCAAACCAGAGATCTAACAGGCTATGGGTTTTTCACCCATTCCAGTGGGATTTTACACAGTTAGTGATATCAGTGCATCAGATTGTCATGGGCCTTTTCACTCCAATGTAAATTAAGTTGTAAATCCCATCCCATTGGAATGGGTGAAAAACACACAGCCTTTTATAATCTGTTAGATCTCTGGTTTGCATGAACGGATTTCCAGGACATTTTTACTGAATACACACAAGAGTATAGTTAATATGCTCCATTAAGGTGAAATACTCATATTAAGTAGTTTTTGAGAAAATGAAGGATATCTGCTCGCACAACTTTTTTTTTTTTAGGACACCCTGTATTTATAACAAAATTAATAATTTAGAACTATCAAGTAAAATGGGAATGAAATTGGTACATGATTGAGATTATAACATAATTGGGTGCAACGGTGTTCGACTCGTGTGCTGTGATACATGGGTTCGGATCCTGACGGGGAACATGGTGCTTGTGCACTTGGGCAAGGCACTTTACTACGATTGCCTCTCTCCACCCGGGTGTAGTAAATGGGTACCTGGTAGGAAGAAATTCCTTCAATGCTTCAGTGCCGTAATGGCAGCCGTGCTAAAGCCAGGGTAATATTGGAGAGCCAGGAGCGTCACTTCGTGACGGACATTAGTGAAACACAAGAAGCCAATATTATTATAATAATTGCATTTCACACAGCGAATGCCTCAATACAACACTTTCTTTGGAATTTTATATGAAGTTGATGGAATTACCTTTACCAGGGGCTAACGTTTTATTTGTCTACAGTTATAAATCAAATCTACACAGGTCAATCGTACGTCATCCAGTCACGTGACAATCTCTGATGACGACTTTCCTTTTTCAATGTTCATCCCTTGTTACTTGTCACACGACTAGTCATTTGACCTGTGACTGATAAAATAGCGATTAAATCGATTACAACTTTGCATTTTTCCATGGAATTTAAGGAATGCTTATAATACTTAACCCTTTGTGTCATCAGCAGTATAACTCACATCAAGATTTTCAACAATATTTCATTCTTTAACTTTAAACTCGCATGAGTCTGCACATTTGGTACAAAAGGTATGTGCGATGGGAAACTTTTTTATCAACAACCATGCTCTTTTCATGACGCACAAATACTGTTCCAATTTTGTTTAAGTTTACATAATATGCTCATTAATTTACATTTAGTACATAAGGTGTTTTTCTATATCTCCCAAGCTAATCACTTAATTCAAAACTAATATAAAAAAATATGCCCATACAAGATATACAGTGTTTCCAGTACAACGCCACAGTAAATAATGGCCTATATACAAATCTAGATGCATAAACGCAGTACCAATTTTAAGTTCAAATTCCCACAGCCCAAATCTATTAATACACAAAAAAAAAGAAACAATCTCTAAGTACATTTGAAACAAATGGCGTCATTTATAAAGGCAATTGTATTATACTTTTGCACCAAAATGAACAATTTCATGGCATCTCAAAAATCATCATTTATGCACTGTGCCAAAAAATATCATCTTTCAAAAATTGGGGGAAAATGGAAATATTCTTGCTTTTACTTTATACAGCTTCTTTTTCCAAATTAACTGATACTCTCAAAGACGACATTAAACTTCCATTTTTTTTTTTCATTTTGCCACTCGGTGCGGAGTTAAATTTTTAAAAAAATGTAATTAAAAAATCATTCACAATTAAAGCCTATTTTGTGGACTTTTTTTTTTGAAAGGCTTGCCATACACACTGACTTTAAAATATTCAGATGATTATCAAAGCAGCAATCTTTATTGAATTTTTGGTCAAATCCGCCAACCACAATTTACAGGTCATTGTTGAGATGCTACCATGATTGTGGACAGGTTGCACGTACCAAAAGAGTAAGGTTTGCAACTCAAACTTAAAGGCATATAGGATCGTTTGCATTATCTCAAAAATAACCTACCAAATTATTATCATAAAACTTACTTAGCTTAAAGATCGTACTGGTATTAAACACCCCGTGAAATTATTCCGTCTGACTTGCTGTCATTCAGAAGAAGAAATGTGGGTGACTTCCTGAGATCAGTCAATTGACAGATGTTTGGAAATAATGAGTTCTATTGATGAAAGAGTGTTTAGTGATCAAACGATTGTTTTCTCGTGCGTAAAAAGTGTAATATGCCCTGAGCCTACACTTCAACAAGTTATGCTTTGACCATCATTCTTTGGATTTTGAATGGCGTTGTTAATGGAAATGAATAACATGCATGAAAAACAACTGATCCTATGTGCCTTTAAGAATGTGAGATGACACACATAATCCCACGCCAACATCTCAATTATGTTTCCAAATTGTGGTTGATAGATTAGCACATATCAGATATATTACAAAATGCGATATATATATATACATTTTTAAAACTGTGTGACTTCCTCCGGTATATCTTCGCTGTCGACACTCCCAATACGCTTTGGACTTTTCTGTGGTGGTGGGGGTGGTGGGGGCGATATAGTCGGCCGTGAAAGACTTGTGGATTTGGGTCGTAACGTTGGCGACGGCGGCACGTTATCGGTCGCCGACGAGATGGGCGGGGGCGAGCTCGTTGGACGAATCTCCCGTCCCTGGCTATTCTTTTTGGCGGGAACCGGCGGCCGGGCCGGCTTCTCCAAAATCGCCGGCTTCTCCGCTTTGACCGGTCTGTCCGGTTTCACAGGGGGTTTCTCCAGTTTGGAGGGTCTGTCTGGTCGCTCGGGGGTGACCCTCTCCGTGGAGTTGGTCGGCGTGTTGCCGTTGACGTTATTGACGCCGGGGTTGGATGTGGAAGGGGCTGGGGTATCTCTCGGTAGGGACGAGTAAGGTGAGGGAGTTGGCGACATGCTTGGAACCGGAGGAGCTGGGTTCTTCTTCACAGATTTGGGTCTGGGCAATGACGCTGACCTTATCCTGCAATATTAATAACCGACCAATGAATTTATCGATAGATTAATCAATATACCCAATTGTAAGCAAAGTTTTGTGCAATTTGCAACTCAATTACCCGGTCCTATCTGAAAATTGTTTCCCTTTTTTTTTCATCATCAGAGTTGCACTCAAGAAAACAGCAAGTCGAATCACAAGTCAGTCACTGGTCAAATCAACGGCAACACGGCATGAACATGCTTTTGTCGCGGTACACTTAGTATAGTACACGGCACTATTAAGCGCGTTGTATGACATACGATAAACATGGTAAAAATCTGTTTCACAAAGTGATGAAATAACTTTGGAACTGAATTTCTCAAAAACTAAGTAACTCAGATGCACACGGATTGCATACAATAAAGTTTAATCTCTAATTTAATAGCAAAAACGAAACAGCTTGAATTCTTACACAGGGAGTATATAGAATGAGCCTACAAAATAATGACCAACTTTAAATCGTTTTTTCTCGAAACACACAAAAATGTGATACGTCGGTTCAACCGATGAAATGATTGACTTATGATGACTTAAATGCAACTCTGCTCATACGAATCAATCACAGAACTCTGAAACAAAGCCAGCACATGTATACATGTTTTTCTTCACATGCCGAATTCACACAAGTGATAATTCATTCCTTGTTTTTTTCCTTTTCTTCTTTGAACCTCATTTGCATTACCAACATGGCCGAACGGACGATGGTATTAATATAGCCCTTGATCAATCGCCTTTAGCTGCCAAGCGACATGTCATTTGTTAATTAAACTTCCACAAGCAATTGCAGATGCATAACATATACCTTTCGCAATATGAAGCACTCATGAAATGCTGAAAAGATAGATTTTTACGCTGAAGACATCTTGCTTGTTAATAAACCACCACATATTGGCATGAGAAGCAGAAGGTAAAAAAGATGATTCAAAACAACGCCACCACATAGATCATTTGTTCTAATCAATCAATGGTGGCACATTATACTGTGATTTCAGGATAATATAATCTTGTTTTTCACAGCAAACCCACTGCAAAATGTTAGCCCTTACTCAAGCAAGCTTTCGTAAATCCTAAAAGACAAACCTCCTGTGAAGGAAACAACGGTAAATATTTTGAACATTAACAACTTTAAGTCCTTCACAGAGTAACTGTGGCAAGGCTTAATCTCCTTCAATCCTGCAAATTCCCCCGAAAACCTCCAGCAGCCAATTTCAGAAACCTTTACCCTATTGCAAAAGTCCACTTGCGCCACAACTTACTGCGTATTTTGCTGCAACATTTCAGTTATGACAATTTTACGAAAGTGTCACAGCGTTTAAGTCCACCACTTGCGCAACAAACTATGGCGTAACTTGCGCAATCACTTTAGGTGGCGTAAGTTGTGGCGTAGCGACTGAAAATGACCTATATTACCAGCAAATCATGATCGTCGTGGAGCCTGTTATTGTGCAACTTAGCAACGTTGATACAGCTTTGTGCTTGTAGTAAATGAATTGCGTATTTATTGTTGAGAGAGTTTTTAGAGTTGCCGCATGATTCTGAAGAAAGTCGGACAAAACTATGTTCAAAATGGCGGGCAGTTTGATGAGGTGATTCAATGAATGTTTCATGACAGAACAAAATCACACCCAAACAACCAAAGGAAATGCTGTTATTATCTGCGTCCAAAGATATTTAAATTATTTAAAACGTTGCACAGCTATGCCACGTTTCATGAAATCAGTCCTAAGTTTATTGCGCAGCTGCTCAAGTCCTGCACATGGCGTAAGTTGCGCACTGTTTTGTGAAATAGGCTGCCGGTGAATTTAGAAGGATCTAAAGCTAAAACTACAAAGTTTAGAGATTGTGATTGTACACGTGGGAAAGAATAAAAGTAAACAACTAATGCAGTCTTCAAACTGTCTGTACAAAAACAATTAACCAAAACAAAAACAATCATGAATTTAAAATGTGAAAATAATCCATATAAACTTATAAAGTGAATCCAAGTTCAACCTCAAGGCCACTTGGACAATCAATACTTGGACAATCTTAGCATAAGGCTGATGCTTGCTGAATGGGGAATGTGGCTGTCCAATGGTCTTACATGTAGATGAATCCTAAAAGGGGGTGTGTCATTTTCTGTGGTTGCTGATTGGCCGCTTCAGAAATCCAAAACAAACCCAAGAAAGAGTAAAGATAGAACAACGTATTTTTGGTGTGTAGTAAATCTTATATTGCATGGTGTTTTTGAAACTTTCCAGTAATGTGTCATGCACCAGTTGCCAGGCAGTTCCCAATGGTTCTAGAAATTATGAGTTAGTGCGTGTACAGAAAACCATATGTGGTTATGGAAACAAGCGGAACACACATGACAGCTACAATTTCTCCAAAATTCCAAGAAGTAATTATCAAACTAATGTAGCCCGAGCCTGTAATTTCAAAAGAAAATGCAAAGTTAGTCGCAGAATGCGAGAGTGCAATGTTAATTAAGCCAGCGGGTTCCTGTAATAGAACCCTGTGATAAAAATTATTTTTTTAGTAAAACCAGATATGTGCTAAAAATTAGATATGTGTCAGTATAGACCCAGTAACTGGGGCGCTAGAACTCCTGTTTTCACATTTTGTCTTTGGTCCGTACCAAAGACAAAATTCGAAAAAAAGGAGTCCTAGTGCCCCAGTTACTGTCTAGTGTCAGTACCGTGTGAGAAAAGAAGATAGATACAAAGCTGACAATAAAGACTTTTTAAAAGCCCAAATTTGATATCAATCGTGAAAAAAAACACACACAACACATCGTGTCTTTTGGGCTTAACTGATCTTTTGTAATGAGAACAAAAGAACACGCTGATGTTCTTGTAGTGATTGTTAGCGGTGGCACAGAAACTGATGAAGTGGTACATTGGTTAGTGTGTGAAGTACAGTGTTTGAGTCAAGTCCTTTTCCAAGTCCAGCAAGTAAATCAAAATCAAACACGGTACAAAAGTAATTATAAATCCTGGGGGGAACAAAAACAAGACTGTGGGACCTGCGAACTTGGGCTTTTTATTGGTAGTAAACCGAGAGTTCAGAGAAAATAAAACAGAAGGCCGTAAATGTCGATGATTTTTCAAAGGGCAATTCTTGCGTGAAGTCATGTCAGTAACAGCGCTCTCATGAGCTCAGCTAATAAACCTGAACATGTATTTTTACAATCTTATACATCCAGTGGCGCACCCAAGGGGGGGGGGGGGGACACCCCCCCCCCCCCCCGAGGTTTTCATTTTTTTTCTTTTTTTGTCAAATTTTTTTTTAATCCCACGATTTGACTGCGGTGTTATGTATGTGGCCTTTTTTCGAGTAGTATAATAAGGGTGTAAATGGCGCCACCAACGTCAAAATAGTCCCCCCCAAAAAAAAAATTTTTTTTTTTTTGCGGCCAAAAATGTTGGGCAACTTTTTTTGAAAAAATACAAATTTCAAAAAAAAAATTGTGCCCCACCAAGCTAAATCCTGGGTGCGCCACTGTATACATCTAGTAATGGTCAAGGAGATTACAGACTAGGAGTTTTGGATCATTTCTGTGAATCATTAATTAGATACATGGTTAATTGGCTCTGTCACGGACATTACACTTCCCTTAATGAAGCTGGAATTGCCAATAGGGACTTTTGCAAATATTTCTTCATTTATTCCAAAAGTTGAGTGTCTTAACACTCATTTTCCTACTCATTCAAAGTACCGAGCAATCAGCGCAGCTGAAATCCTCTTATAGTCACTGCCTCATACTTAGGGACTTGGAAAAGGACCGGACCACCGTTACTGCTGGACTACCTTGTTCATGCATCATCCTTAAGCTTATGGAAGCTACTATGCACTCTCCGCAGGCTAGTTTTAGGGGGGACTTTCGGAGGTGCCCGGACACCCCTTTCCACTCTCTATGGACAACAATACTTGGACAATCTTAGCATAAGGCTGATGCTTGCTGAATGGGGAATGTGGCTGTCCAATGGTCTTACATGTAGATGAATCCTAAAAGGGGGTGTGTCATTTTCTGTGGTTGCTGATTGGCTGCTTCAGAAATCCAAAACAAACCCAAGAAAGAGTAAAGATAGAACAACGTATTTTTGGTGTGTATTAAATCTTATATTGCATGTTGTTTTTGAAACTTTCCAGTGATGTGTCATGCCCCAGTCGCCAGGCAGTTCCCAATGGTTCTAGAAATTATGAGTTAGTGTGTGTACAGAAAACCATATGTGGTTATGGAAACAAGCGGAACACACATGACAGCTACAATTTCTCCAAAATTCCAAGAAGTAATTATCAAACTAATGTAGCCCGAGCCTGTAATTTCAAAAGAAAATGCAAAGTTAGTCGCAGAATGCGAGAGTGCAACGTTAATTAAGCCAGCAGGTTCCTGTAATAGTGTCATGTGATAAAAATTCTTTTTTTAGTAAAGCCAGATATGTTATAAAAATTAGATATGTGTCAGTATAGTCCCAGTAACTGGGGCGCTAGAACTCCTGTTTTCACATTTTGTCTTTGGTCCGTACCAAAGACAAAATTCGAAAAAAAGGAGTCCTAGTGCCCCAGTTACTGTCTAGTGTCAGTACCGTGTGAGAAAAGAAGATAGATACAAAGCTGACAATAAAGACTTTTTAAAAGCCCAAATTTGATATCAATCGTGAAAAAAAACACACACACAACACATCGTGTCTTTTAGGCTCAAGTGCTCTTTTGTAATGAGAACAAAAGAACATGTTCATGTTCTTGTAGTGATTGTTAGCGGTGGCACAGAAACTGATGAAGTGGTACATTGGTTAGTGTGTGAAGTACAGTGTTCGAGTCAAGTCCTTTTCCAAGTCCAGCAAGTAAATGAAAATCAAACACGGTACAAAAGTAATTATAAATTCTGGGGGGAACAAAAATCAAGACTGTGGGATCTGCGAACTTGGGCTTTTTATCGGTAGTAAACCGAGAGTTCAGAGAAAATAAAACAGAAGGCTGTAAATGTCGATGATTATTCAAAGGGCAATTCTTGTGTGAAGTCATGTCAGTAACAGCGCTCTCATGAGCTCAGTGAATAAACCTGAACATGTATTTTTAAAATCGTATACATCCAGTGGCGCACCCAAGGGGGACACACCCCCCCCCCCCCCAGGTTGTCATTTTTTTTATTTTTTTGTCAATTTTTTGTTTAATCCCACGATTTGTCTGCGGTGTTATGTATGTGGCCTTTTTCTCGAGTAGTGTAATAGGGGTGTAAATGGTGCCACCAACGTCAAAATAGTCCGTTCTCCCCCCCCCCCCCCCAAAAAAAAAACACTTTTTTTTTTTTTTGCGGCCAAAGATTTTGGGCAACTTTTTTTGAAAAAATACATATTTCTAAAAAAAAATTGTGCCCCCCCCCAAGCTAAATCCTGGGTGCGCCACTGTATACATCTAGTGATGGTCAAGGAGATTACAGACTAGGAGTTTTGGATCATTTCTGTGAATCATTAATTAGATATCATGATTAATTGGCTCTGTCACGGACATTACACTTCCCTTCACGAAGCTGGAATTGCCAATAGGGACTTTTGCAAATATGTCTTCATTTCTTCCAAAAGTTGAGTGTCTTAACACTCATTTTCCTACTCATGCAAAGTACCGAGCAATCAGCGCAGCTGAAATCCTCTTATAGTCACTGCCTCATACTTAGGGACTTGGAAAAGGACCGGACCACCGTTACTGCTGGACTACCTTGTTCATGCATCATCCTTAAGCTTATGGAAGCTACTATGCACTCTCCGCAGGCTAGTTTTAGGGGGGACTTTCGGAGGTACCCGGACACCCCTTTCCAGGGACCGAGTCCTTTCTAATCCCCCCAGCTCAATGCCTGGCGGGGCCGGGGCTCGCCGTTTCATGTGCTTCTGGCTCAGGGGCGAGGGCGATTTGCTACAGGCGTGAGGGGAAAAGACCACAAAATATTATGTGCCAAAGAATTTCTCCAGCTGCTTCCGAAACCAGTGTTCAGAGCTATGGCTACGTCTATCGTCAGCATGTGCCCATCTAAATGTAACTGTTGAAGACCCATGGCTCTAGACGAGCGACTGGACGGGGCCTAAGATTAATTTGTAGATTTTTTGGCAATAATGCAGCAATAATGAGATCACATTTCGACAATTAATTATGTGTAGCACATGTCGGCCTTAAATGGTTTTCACTAGTGACTACAAGCTGATATATTAGAATCAACACTACTAATACGCAACGTTTTACTTAGGGGTAAAAAAAAATTGTGTGTTTACGGTAACACAATCTACCTTGGGGGTTTTTAAGGCCGAACTGCTGACCTCAATATTTTTGGCCAAAAAATTTAAATGATGTATTTTTATTTTTTTTTAAATGTCTTCTCTGTGCAAGAATTTTGTGCCTTACTTGTCAATTAAACAATTCAACAGGTTCGTTGATCAAAATACTGTTAAACGTACGTATAAAGTAAGTAAAAAAGACGAACAAACATTAAAAAAAGTACAAAATGAAATTATTTCCTAACTACCTACCTGGATAATTTTTAGGGCGTTACCGTAAACACACAATTTGTTTTTCTCAGCTTTATCTACATTTGCATTTGCAATGTATTATGAAAAATTCTAAACTAGTTTTTACAACTTTCTTAAAAAATAGCTCTGAGCTTATGCCTTTCACTTGTGAGACTAAGACATATTGATTGTATTCGCTGTACAATTTTTTTTGCAGAAAGAAATAGGAAAGAGGTACGTAGCGCAGAACATTTCACCTGCATTTCAATCAAAGCATTTTAAGAACCTACGTTTGTCTCTGCAAAAAAAATCTAATTCTTAGCCGGAGTGGCACAAGTCTGTGTTAAATCTTGTATTTTATTTGGTGTTTTGGGGGGTTTTTCAACAAAAATCACAGCTGATTGAGGACTTCGTCCAAACATTGATGAAAATCTGTCCTCTACATACATGTTTGATGCAATCTAATCCCACATAACCAAAATAATTAGAACTAATTTTTGAAAAAGAGGTTAGCATTTTTCCCCCCAATTTTGAAGACAAAATTCTCCATCTCATCAATTTTTCCGCTGTTTAAAATCTGAAATAACACAATAAGGGCTGTTCAACGATAAGGCATCATTGTTGATTTGACTGAACCCCCCCCCCCCCCCCCCCCCCCCAGTTATAGAGTTCTCAATAAAACATATTTAATCACAGATCTTTTGAGATAAAAAAGTAAATTCAATGTTTTCACTATGGAAATGAAAATAAAATGAATACAAAATTTAGTGAAATTTTTTTTGAAATTGTAACTTCAGTCGCGTCAGATGCCTCTTAAAAACAACATAACAATACATTTCAATGTCACAAATTTCAAAATTCTCAAACATAGATTTTTTTCTTGGCGTTCAGATAAAAAGAGATATGCTTTCAATGTAAACCTGGCTGTAACTTTTGTAGTTTGCTCAGTTTAATTCAAAGCAGTGATAACCCTTCCAAGAACATGGTAGCAACATTCAATGCCAAAATAAAGGTTTTTGTAAGCAACTGCACACAACAGTACAATGGTTTATACAACATGGCTCTCATCTTTCTACAAACTATTGCCGCAGCATGCAAATTGCCATTTGTATGAAGTTAAAAGTCTGCAGGTAAGAACAATAAAAAAATGTAGTTATAAAAATGGTGTTAATAATCCTAACATTGAATTACAAACGTGCCCAAAAGTGTGCATGGGTTAGTCAGTCGAAGTTCAAGGGAGCTGAAAGACATCTGGGAGCCTCATTTTTACGAAAGTTTTTATTCCGCAACAATAACATGCCTCGGCCATAACCCTTTGGCATATGTTTGAAAGGAACCTTCCTGTTCCCTCCCAAATCCTTCAATGTGTAGCAAACAGTAGCACTTTCTTGCACTTTACCTTTCAAGGGGCATCAAGCACCATGTAATGTAATTGTGACTGGACTTGACCCTTCCCAATCCTTCAAAATCCTCCAAAACCATTTGGTGGATTTTGTAGGGTCTGTGGGGGTTAGGTGTACACAGAGGCATGCACTATATCAAGATGTCTTTAAGTTTCCCTTTTCATCCATCACTTTTGTTAAGAACAAATCCGAGGAGAAAATTACAAAAAGAAAGCACCAAAGAAATGACTGCATACTAACTTGTCGGTTAAGTGGTGCGTTAGCGGTGCCACGGTGGTTTCAGACTGCGGCGAGGTCGGCCCCGGCGCTGGACTGTGCTGGACAGGACTGGATTGCACCTGTGTGTCCGTGACGTCCGGACTGGGCTGGGAATTAGTGTCAGCCGGTGCGGGGGTAACGGAGACAGCGGGGAAACCGTCGGTCGCGTCCACGCCCGACTGAGTTGTCTCCGAGAATGAGTTGTTTTTTGAGCTTGTGATTGCGAAAGTAATTTCTGAAGGAACGAGAGGAGAAAGTTCGGGGTCAAATGTAGAAGGGTGCCTTTTTCGAAAAGTGGTTGAGTTATGGGTTCCGTGCACAAGTACCCCCTCAACCGTTACAAAGGGAGAGTTGGGGGAGACCACTGGGAGAGACATTGGAACGTATTACCGACAACGCTCGACGCTCACGCGAAGACGCTTCTGCTTTGTGCACATTCAGGATAAAACTAGTCATGCGTACTTTGCGTTATACGGTGCAAAACTGTGCGCGGTGTGTCCTGTCCACTGGGCTCTCAATACTGGTAAAAAAGCGCCCTCTCTTGTTTGTGCGCGGATTCGATACTGTCAAAATGTAAATGTGCATATGCAGTATTGCAGTATAAAGATAGGACTTGACACCTCAAGAGGTATTCTTTCATTTTTTTAAAAGAAATTCACCAATCAAAAGATAAGAAGTGAAAATTGTTTAGTTGGCTTAGTTTTCCTGTTGCCACGATGATGGTGAAAACATGCAGTGTGTCAGTGCCAGATATGTCACTCACATAGGGGAGAACGCCTAATTAAGCAGACGGTAACTGGAGGTTTAACCTGAGGTTTTACAAAGTTTTACTGGGTTCAACCTCGAGTTACTGCTGGTTTAATTTTGCATTCTTTCCTTACTGACGTTCAGAGCTTAACCTAATAACAAAGTCCATCACAACTCATCCAGTCTCAAGTCAAGTGACAAGCTACTTCAATGAACTGTGCCAAGGGCGCTGCTTTGCTGTTATGACTTGACATGTGACTGACTTGTGACTGACTTTTAATTTCAATAGTGATTGACTTGTGACTGACTTCTGACTGACCTCTGATTGATTTCTGACTGACTTGTGACTGACATCTGATTGACTTCTGACTAACTTGTTATTAACTTCTGACTGACTAGTGATTTGACTTTTGATTGACTTCGACTGACTTGTGACCGACTTCTGATTGACTTGTGACTGACTTCTGATTGATTTCTGATTGACTTGTGACTAACTTCTGACTGACTTCTGATTGACTTCTGATTGACTTGTGACTGACTTGTGACTGACTTGTGACTGACTTGTGACCGACTTGTGACTGACTAGTGACTGACTTCTGACTTACTTCTGACTGACTTCTGATTGACTTCTGATTGACTTGTGACTGACTTGTGACCGACTTGTGACTGACTTGTGACCGACTTGTGACTGACTAGTGACTGACTTATGACTTACTTCTGACTGACTTCTGACTGACTTCTGACTGACTTGTTATTGACTTGTGACTGAATTGTGTTTTAACTTTTGATTGACTTCCACTGACTTCTGATCGACTTCTGACTGATCTATGACTAACTTGTGACTGACTCATGATTTGACCAGTGATTTACTTGGTTAAGACTCTGCTTGACAACTGCAGTGTCGACCACAAGGTTTTCTCCTGAAACACACTTATCAACAGTCAGGAACTCCACAACTTTAAACAGTCAAAATTTTGGAAACGATTCTTACCTTCTGGGAAGAACCAGTCTGCATAATTGATGAAATACTCGATGATGGTGGCAGACACGCCTGTGCTTGTCATCGACAAACTGAAAGAAAAAAAGGAACCACACCGGAAATTGATTAAGTGTACTGATCAACTTTTGGAGAGAACAAAGTTGTATTTGAGCTGAAGTGATTTTAACCTCTAACCACATCAGACTATTACATAAACCATAAGGATCCTTAGGCCAAAAAAAAAGGTTCTGGCTTCTGGTATGCGCACGCGTCGCCATAGCCATGCGCGTCGGCAAAATTTTTAAAAAAAAATTTTCAATGTAAGATGATGTCTCAAACCCGCCAAACTCACTGGTTCAACTGGAATCCTGCTGCTGCACAATTTTAACGTGTTTTTAGATAGGGTTACAATTGAGTATAAGCTTTATGAGGCCTTTCTGGGCTCCCACAGAATAGTCGGGCACCATTTGCAGACAGTGTTGTATTTTTGTGATTGTGTGTGTGGAAGCCAGACATGTGTGTTGAAGCGATGGTCGTGTATCTTGAACCTGTAAACGCTTTTTAATTAGCGCAATATGTAAGAGAGCAGACTAATGACCAGCCTGGCAGCACAGGCACGATGTCGATGTCGCTGTATGGTCTGACGTTACCTTTTTCTCTGATTTTTGTCTTGACTATCCAAATTTCCCGAAGAATGTTCGTGTCGGTCAGTGTTCGTGTGAAGCCGCAGAAGAAGGGTTAATTAATCAGTCAAGGAAAAATCAGAGACACCTGTTGATTTTAATTTTAAAATTTTTTATTTTAGAAGCATTCACTCACCCTCCATCTTCCTCAGACCATAAGAGGTTGGGCCCGACCACCAGCGAAAGATTGCTTGCGTTCATCTTGTTGTACTCGCTCCTCTTGGCAACATTGCTCAGGAACTTGATGAGGTACCTGAAGTTGTTGTAGTTGGGTTTCGGGATTTTCTTGGCCACGGTCCACAGAGCTTGCAGCTTCTGGTCCTTGTCTTTGATTCTGGAATTAAACCAACAAAAATTTTCAAGATACTATAGGTTTCCACGGCTATTTTTTCAAAAGATTATCATTCAAATTGCCTGATTCGAATATTCAAATTAAAACGGAAAACATTCCAATATGAAAAGAATTAAAAAGAATTAATTCCAAACTACGAATCGCAGATTTGACTCGCTGAGGAATCTTAAATTCAACAACTTCAAGATGATTTTCCTCACAGGTTTAAAATTACAACTGTGAGAGGTAGACCACAAGGAAACTAAAACTACTCGCCACATAAACAGTTTAAAAAACATCTCATGTCTAGTTGCTTACGACATTGTCTGGATAAATTCCGGATACAGAGCAAATGTGAGCAAGGGTTCTGGGAGCTCCCTCAGATACTGCTTCAAGACACCTGCAACAATCAAGAGACAATCGTCAATGATTGAACCAAATTTAACATTACATTAGTATGAAAACGACACCTTTATGCAAAGAGTGATGAGTGTGAATGAGAAGAAATTGATGTACCGGTAGGTTTGAGGGGAAGTAGTGAGAATTACTACCTCCCAACGCGAAGCAGAGGGAGGTAGTCAAGCTGACCTACACCGAGGGACCAGTAATTCCAACTATTTTTCCAGAAATAAACCATGCCGTATTTGTTTTACTACACCTCATAAATAATTTAGTAGCCTCACTACCTTTTTAGTAGCTTCACTGCCTTATCGATAACGGCCTTCCTAGATTTTGCATCTTTATTCAGCACCAAAAAAAAATATTCAAGGTCTTCGTCAGTCATTGAAATAGGATGGCGCGTATTATTTTTACTTCCCGGACGCACGGCGGAATCGGCCAATGACATACTCCAAGTTGATCATGAATATTGATGAGGTGTAGTAATTCAAACTAATGTCTGCCAAGGGCAAAACGAATACCAATTGAAAATTGCTACAAACTTTCCCAATGATAAACTGTAAGTCAAAAAGACTGGTGCTGTACTTGTTAAAATTGTATACTTAATACCCCAGCTTGGTCAGTTACATATAGACGAATCCAGGCACCTGTTGGCCAATTTCATGGATCTGCTAAGCACAAAAATTTGCTTAGCACAAAAAAACCTCTGGCTCAGTAAAAGCAGGTTACCAGCCAAAACTTTATGTGATTTTCATGCTAAGCAAACAACAGTTGAGTACCAATCACAAGCAATATACATCACATGGAAATTTGGTTGGTAATCCTGTTTTTGCCAAGACAGACTTTTCATGCTAAGCAAATTTTTGTGCTTAGCAGCTCCAGGAAATTGCTTAGCACAAAAAAAACTCTGGCTCAGTAAAAGCAGGTTACCAGCCAAAACTCCATGTGATTTTCATGCTAAGCAAACAACAGCTGAATACCAATCACAAGCAATATACATCACATGACCATTTGGTGGGTAATCCTGTTTTTGCCAAGGAAGACTTTTCATGCTAAGCAAAATTTTTGTGCTTAGCAGCTCCAGGAAATTGCTTAGCACAAAAAAAACTCTGGCTCAGTAAAAGCAGGTTACCAGCCAAAACTCCACGTGATTTTCATGCTAAGCAAACAACAGCTGAATACCAATCACAAGCAATATACATCACATGGACATTTGGTTGGTAATCCTGTTTTTGCCAAGACAGACTTTTCATGCTAAGCAAATTTCTGTGCTTAGCGGCTCCAGGAAATTGGCCTCTGATCACTGTAGACTCACAGAGGCCCCCTTCAATGGTGGAACCATTGTGCTAGCTATTGTACAAAAGCAACTGCTCCATGACTGATTATCTGAACAATGGGCTCCGTGCGCTAAGAAAAGAGGGAGCCCTTTTACCTAGCAACGACGTCCCATGGGCGGGACATTTAGCTGGTTGACGCACGTACACCAGGGGATTTGTACTATGTACACGCAGTGGTACATGATACGGCCGCGCGTCGCGGCAAAATTGCAGTCAGGCAAGATGGCGTCGGTCGGTCCCCCCCCCCCCCCAACTGTGCTTTCTTTGCCGGTGAGGGGGTACCTGTGAACCGAGCGGATAGCTGGCATGATAGTCTCGCCACTGTAGGGGACCGTGGTGATAGAAGCGATGGCATGCCCCAAGGTACAAATGCACTAACCTGCTGCTGCGTGTTCTACACCAAATTCCATGTCTAGTTCAACATTTGTATCTAGTGCTGCCTGCAAAAAAAGAGACAAACAGAATACTGCTATGAAATTTACACAAATGCAAGTATCATTAACACACAACCCTTGGACCTTTTGGCTAGGATGCATCCTCAATCCTACAAATTCCTCCAACTGCCTCCATGCATCAATCCTCAAAAATCATCTACTACTTCTCCAATTTGTTCAGTGGGTGGGTGACCTCAGTCCTTCAAAATCCACCAACTCACTTTTTAACACATTAAAGCAGTGATGTCAGATCCTTTAAAACTACGCGATCCTATTTCTATGCACTCGCATTGAATTTTCGTTTGAGAACGCGCGCGGGTTGCAAGCGCTACCTGCATGGATTATGGAGGATTGAGGATACAGATGTTATCAAGCAGCAGTGCGGATGGCATCCAGTATAATATAATCCTCAATTACATGTATGCATGGCTCAACATAAACGAAGCAGGGTACAGTTTAAGACCGGGACACAATGCAAATAAATGGCACACAGCCTCAATCCTCTAAAATCCTCTTAAACGGTCCTCCGCAATCCTTCACAATGCATAAAATAAAACGGGACATTCAGGGTAGTTTAAATTTCAAGAAGTATCACGCATCGACAACATTTCCATCAGATTTGTATACGAATTGCTGTAGAAGTCGCTTGTAAGAAAAACAAATTCACGAGCTTGCTTGGTTGGAACTCAAACTCACAATCTTCTGTTTACTTTTTCAGATATCTAAACCCCGAGACAAGATAGGTTTGCGGTAGCACCATGTGAATAAATCTCTTTTGTGAGTATGTGTGGTTCTGAAAAGAACCGGAGCAGAACCACTCATACTCACAAAAGAGATTTATTCACATGGTGCTACCGCAAACTTATCTTGTCTCAGTATCTTTCCACCATGCAAACCTTCAAATCTCATATCTAAACCCCTCAACAATAGGCCTGGGCGAATAGTGGATTTTTCAACTTGAGATATCGCAAAGAAATTACTCGCGAGCAATCAAGTACTTGCGAGCAGTTAACCGAATTCCCATAAAAGGACAAATGACATACACGTTAGTACGACATGAAGTAATTTACAAGCAAATAGCGTGCAAGTCACGCCACATTCTTCAGCGCTGAGATATCCTTACTGTGCGACTTTTTGGGTAACTTCCTTTTGGCTTTGGTTTGAGGTTTTTTGGACGAAAAGAAATCCTAGGGAGAGAGAGGTGGAGGAGTGATTCCCTGTTTGCAGGGGACGTACTAAGTCATGAACCCTAAACCCTAAATTGCTACTCGCGAGTACCTGCTGCTACTCGCGCCAGGATGAGTACTCGAGTAGATGAAAAACCACAAGTAGACCGAGTAGCATAAACTACTCGTGAGTACTCGAGTGATCAAAATACTCGCCCAGCGGTACTCAACAACCTTACTTGTTGGGACGGATATCCCCTTATTCCCCCCCCCCCCCAACAAAAAAATACTCAATCAGAAGTGTTTGTCAACTTACCCTGATCATCTTGACCTTGGAGGCGCTACCAGCAATCCTGAATATCCCCTCCTCGTCCATGCCCAGCTCCATGATCCAACAGATGCAGATCTCCAGCGGCGAGGCGATCTCCCTGCCCTGAATCCTCAGGTGGTCCTCCAGGGCCAGGCCGAAGACACCCTGGGTGGGGGCCTCCGACAGGTTGTCCTTGAGTTCGGGGATCAGCTTCTCCAGACGGCATAGGACGCTGCGGTGGTACTGGGCTTGACATTCTACCATCTAATAATAATAATAATGATAACTAGATTTATATAGCGCCAAATTACCAAAGGATGCAAGGCGCTAGAAGGGAACAATACATGTATATGAAAGGATGAGGAAAACCAGCTACTGTTTGGGGAAGAGGTGGGTCTTGAGTCCTTTCTTGAAGGATAGAACAGAATCAGTGTTTCTGATGGAGACAGGCAGTGCATTCCATAAGCGGGAGGCAGCAACGGAAAATGCTCTCTATCACCGGATTTTTTTCAAGACTTGTCAACCACAAGGGATAAAGCATCAAAACTACGAAGAGAGTATGAACATTCATGGATTGTAAGGAGAGATGATAGGTAGTTAGGAGCACGGTGATTTAGAGAATTGTAGGCATGGACAAGTGTGCGGAATTCAATGCGCTAGCCACAAAATAAAAAACACTGTGGGTTAGGCAAAGTGAAAACAAAAACAAAAACAAAGCGGCCCTTTGTTTTCCCCCTGGATGGCAGATTTTCAAAGATGGAGGATGGAATCTTCCATTTTCTAGACTCTTTTGCTGATACTTTTGTGTCGAAAGGAGCCGCCACCCTTTCCATCTGATTTGAACTTGTATTCATAGCTATCATTTTGCTGGGAACAAATATATATTGCAAATGTAAAAATATTTTTAAATTTTTTTTAAATGAGGCGGCGGCTGAAGAAAAGGACATGAGCACAGACGAGACTTGGCCTTATCAACCCTTACGGAGGGGGCCTACCGTGTTTATCACATTGGACTTGTGTGCAAACACTGTTTGGGTTCAATCACTGATAAGAACATAATGTGTTTGTGTTCTTAGGCAAGACACTTTACTATGATTGCAACTCTTGACACAGCAACGGAAATGGGTGCTTGTGAGGGTAAAGAACCCCCCTCTCCCAACTCTTTTAGGGTTAAATACAAATGTGTATTAACCCTAACTCCCTAGCGTCTTTTACTAGGAACTGGACCAAGTCCATCAATCACTGTGTGTCCAATACGAAACTGTTTATGGCATAATGGAATCCACCACTGATGCACTGGTTGACATTCATGGACTTGCTACACATGGCTTTTATCACAATAGCAGTACAGGAAGCTAGGCAAAATCAATCGGATACTCCTAGCATTGCTTCAGGCCATTAGGCCCAAGTCCATCATACTCCATCAATATTTAGTCACGCCAGGCCTCCTGGACCAAGTCCCCCAAAATCCACCAAAATGGGGTGATGGATTTTGATGGAGTTGGGGTGGTTAGGGTTAATTGATGGACAAAGCTGATGAACTCACGTCAACAAGGCATCTTGCCAGCATGCTGTCCTTGGACACTAAACTCATCATCTCGGTAGCCAAGGAATCCTGCCAAGAAGGAAATAAAGAGGTTTATTTATTTCGTTGCATTTTTCTTAAATCATTTTCATAGTGTATGATGTAAGCACACCAAGATCATGCAAGTGCAACACATGAAGTTTCACAAAAAAGTATTCGCAAAGTTGGAAAACCAACATTAAAAAAAGATTTATGCACCAAAAATAGAACACGTAAGGGTAATGATTTTTACAAGTATTGAATATTTGGGGTTTTTTTTTCGTAGATAGATAAATTAAACCTGCAATGCTAAAGATTCTTTTGTATATCGCACATCAACAGATGGTGATGGACAGCATACATGTATGGGCAATTTAAGAGCTTTTAAGAACTCAGTGAATAAAAAAAAAATGTATTTCTCAACTTTTATACATCAGTCATCCAGTTATGGTCAAGGGAGATTACAGACTAGGAGTTTGGGATCATTTCTCTTTGAAACATTAATTAGATATCCTGGTTAATTGGCTCTGTCACAGACATTGCCCATATACGTGATGGAATACTGACCATAATTTTTGATCAAAAAATAGTCAATATCAATTTCAAATTAGAACACACCTTTAAGTTAAATAAATAAGTCATTTTGGGACGTGTGTTTAAAACAAGCACGCTCTGTCCTATCAGTTTACATGTACATTCAGTTTCATTTTGCATTTATCACTCCGACCATCTGCCATGGTTTGTACTGGTCTATGTCCCGATAAGCCTGTAACAAAACATGTCCATGTTTACTTCATACTTCCATTAATACATCGATATATTTAAGCCATAGATAAGTACACATGTAAGATTGCAATGTTGATCTTGGTTTTGTTTCCTTATATTGGAGTAATCCTTAATGTGGTATGTACGAATATGTACCAAGAGCAAGAACCGTACAAAGTGACATTAAAATAACCAGTGAACATCAGGAAAACTGGTCAGACAGAAAACTGTGAAATCAACACACCCCCCAAAATAACAATTTAAAAAAAAATTTAAAATTTAAAATACTGCAAGTTAAACTTGCACACTCCCCCGGCATGCTAGCAGTATTTACACAGTCAGTAAGCACACTTTTATGTTGACCTAACATTCAACAATGTTACAATTCAACAATGACCTCATTTGACCCCTACATGACCTTTGACCTCAAATGTATCAGGTCATCTGAAGTCCCCCCCACCCAAAGATTATCGTCACCAAGTTTAGTTGAGATTGAAGTCTCGACTTTTCATATGACAGCACTAAACAGTTAACCTAACCAAAATGGTAACACACGGACACACACCCAGGAATATACAGGGTGAGTCCACAAAAGCGGAACCCAAACCCCAAATAATATATTTCATATATATAAAAATATGTAGCACCAAAAATAATAATGACTGGAAAGCCAATTTCGTAAGCTACTTTTAGATGAAAAAATTACTGAAATTGCTCAATCCGTTCAAAGAATATCACCATTTAAACGCAATGACCCTAAAACCTGTCTTGTCAACAACAAAAAATTATTGTGTGTTTTGACTGTTTGGAACAACAAAGAAAATGACACAGAATACTTGTTTCAACAACTGTCACCAACTGTAGTACACAATATTTTGATTAACAACCCTAGTTAGGCAAACAATATGATTTATAAAATCTACTTTTTGAAAAGACGGGCCTTCAAAAGGATTTTGTTGCATATTGTTAAGATTTTATTGCAGGTGATGTTTGAAGGCAATTGTGACAACGATTCTTGAAATCGCATTTTTTTGGACAAGACAGGTTTTAGGGTCATTGTGTTTAAATGGTGATATTCTTTAAACGGATTGACCAATTTCAGTTATTTTTTCATCTAAAAGTAGCTTATGTAATTTGCTTTCCAGTCATTATATTTTTTGTGCTTCATATATTTTTAAATATGAAATATACTTTTTGGGGTTTGGGTTCCGCTTTTTTTGACTCACCCTGTACTGGTACTATCTCAAGATCCCCCTTTCTTGACTTAAAAGCCAGGGGGATAAAAATGGGGAAATTCAAAGCTGCCAGACCTTGCAAGCGTCCACCTTCCACTGGCACTGTTCCATCTCTTCTCTGATCGCCTCCACTTTGGTGATGTGTTCCCTGTCGGTGCCCTTGCTTGCCGCTGTCTGATATCTGTCAATGTTCATCAATTCAGATCAGTCCACAAGAAGATTCTCAGTGAAACAACAATACAAGCTTTTTTTTGTATTTCTGCTCGATCAAATTCTTTTAACCCTAACTCCCTTGACAATTTTGTTGGACGGAACCTCAATCCTGCAAAATCCTCCAACTGCCTCCATGTAAAAATTGCATACGGCCTCAATCCTCCAAAATCATCTGTTATTTTTTAAATGTGGTCATTGGAGGGGTGACCACTGCTCAATCCTGCAAAATCCTCCAGCAATCACTGTTAATGAGGCAGAGCCAGTGACATCCTGGAGCAGTGCACAGGATTTCAAGTATTAATCTACAATGTAGGCCTTAATTTATGCACAGCTGAGCATAAACAACACAAGGTCCGGCCTAAGACCTTGACACAGTGCGTCCTCTGAAATCAGCCACACATTTTTGATATAGCCTGAATCCTGCAAAATCCTCCATTTTGCAAAGAGGATTTGGGAAGTTTGGGGTTGATACAGCATCCGCTGTGCATGTAATATGGAGAATGTAACACCCCAGATAAAAGCAGACCATGGGGAACTTCTATGATAAAATACAAATAGAAAATAATGTACAACAAGTTTGATATTTTTCTTCCCTATCCCTAACTCCCTTGTACTTCCTCAGGACTACCCTGCTAAATCCAACAGAGTCCAACCGGACTTTCCTGTTCAATCCACTGTGCCTCATTTTCAGTTGTCCGCTGAATCCACCGGAGTCCAACATGGCGTTATAATGTGGTTCAGTTGCCTGCTGAATCCAACATTTTGCATGAGGAATGTACACAAGGGGTTAACTGCTCAATCCAACAGGCTCCATCAGGTATGTGACATAGTTGGATCCTGTTGGATTCAGCAGGGTTAGGGATCTTACCTGCCCTTGGCCGAATCCAGATCCAGAGTCAGCTTGTTCAACTTCCTCTTCAGAGCCATTACACTGGGGATTTCATTCTGAGCACAAAAATATTGCGACATATTATTTCAAATCTACCGGTACATGTATGTTATAAAGACCAGTTTCTGGTATTTGTTCATGGCTTACATCAATGCCATTTATCTTGTTTTTTGTAAGTTTGTTTTGTTTTCTTGTTCCATTAATTTCAACGTGAGTGTTTTATGTTTAAAGTGTTTTTCCTTTTAATTTCACTTCGTCTGTGACTGCATGTTGTTTAAGTCAAATAAATATTCATAATAATAATAACCCAGAGTACCTGTGTATAAACACAGTTTGAACATTTGTAAGTGCCAAATTATTATCTGTGATAAATATGAAAACAAAAAATCCATACATGTGGGGCACTTTCGGGTAGATCATTTGTCATTTGTGCATTTTTTTTCGCTTGAAGCAACAAAGTGCTCAAAATCTATAGACAGGTGCTTAACAACTAACCATATAAAGTTTTAGCTCTGTGAATGCTGTATATTCCAAGAAAACAATATTCCATGTACAAAACAAGGTGTGTACATGTACAAACTATTCAAGTCAGTGCATCACTTAAAACTTCCTTTCTATCAAGATAACCTTGGCCCCATACATGTATGACTTTACCATACCGGTAATAGGTCCAGTTTTACAGGCATGGAACTAACCCCAATACTCACTCCTTTGGTATTTTACAGATAGGTTAAGAGTGAATCAACCAGCTGGAATGTTAACAGATTCCATTCCTCATTTTACATCTTAAGATACCGTGGGTTACAAAGACATTCAGAAGTCCAGAAAACAAATTACTTGAGAATTTGCGCTAGTCACAATACAGGGTGAGTCAAAAAGTGACCTAGATATTTTTTCTTTTCTTAAAAAGCAATCAAATTTGATACGCCAACCAATCATGTGTTAAAAGACTATGTTCTTCCACTCATCTGAAAAAAAAACAATTACTGAAATTGATCCAAGTTATCATAAGTTCCCATCTTTTAATAAAAGAACCTAGTTTTTAGCTGTCCATGGAATATGCCATTGGAAGCTACTGAGCCGAGTGACCATCACAGATTACACACAGGCAATCAAATACAAATGAGATTTTAATCATTTGGGTCAAGAATGAAACATTCTTTTTACAATCAGATTTTGTGTTTTGAATATGAGGAACAAGTCAACTTTTTTCCCCTGAAATATTGATGGCGATTTTGTCTGTTTTCCCTTGCATGTTTTCGTTCATTCATGGAGGTGGGAAAACGTCCATGTTTCATTGTATTAAATAGGTATTCATCAGTTCGTAGAACGGTAAATGATCAGTGGTGGAAAGCTGAAGTTTGTGATCTTTTTATTGAAATAAACATCGCCTGGGAATAGAGTACACAAAAATTACATGACATTTTCACCGCTACTAGTCAATAACATGTCATTTATCCTTATGTTGTTTTTATGAAATGGGCGAGCCGCATATTTTTTAAAATATATATTTTCAAATTCGGTCACTTTCTTTTTGACTAACCTTGTATGGAGATTTCACTGTTGGAAGTACAAATCCTGAATTACCCCACTAGCCATACAAAGGTTAAATTGTAAAATCATGGGCAAATTTTTATGCAGCTAGCTTAATACAAAAAATTAGTAAGCACAAACAAATACATGCTAAACAAAAACAGGCTACCAGCCAAAATGTCATGTGATGTACATTGATTGTGAACGGTAACCAGCTGATTTGTGCTTATCATATAAATTTGCTAAGCATTTTTATCCTGCTTATCAGCTCCACGAAAAGTGGGCCTTGTTTGTTGATATTACGAAATGAAATGCGCTGGGATAAGGCCACATTTTTTTGTCATATTTCCTAGAAACATGGAATTTGTAAAAAGTAAGCAGAAAAAGGTTTTTGTTTACCAGGCTTTCAAAATGTACTTGAGTATCTACCGTGTAAAACATGGATTGTAAACTGCAGGGCAATGAATGCAGTCTCAGTGCCTATCAATCATGTCAATAGACCATTATCATGTTGCGGCCATCTTGATTTGTTTCCCATTCAAATCAACGTAACCAAAGCGAGGCTGGAAGGAAAAATAGTCTGGTTCCTTTTTGCACAAAAATCATTATCATTCAGTACTGTTATTGGATACAGGGAACATGACTGAAATGGTGGCAGCATGATAAAGGCCTATTGATGTGTGTTCATGCTCGCACTCACTTCTAGGAGCCCACTGAATGGGCTGACGACGAGGTCCTCCAGCCCCATCTCTTGGCTGGTCAGCTGTTGGCCGATGCTTGTCCAGATCTCGGCCGTCTTACCGAGGGTCAACCTAGGAGTGTCGGGACAAGATATCTGGGTTACTCTACAAATTTAGTGTCCAAAGTGTGACATTTTTGCTGTCCTGGTTACCCTGGTAACTTGCCATTCAAGTATCATTTAGAATGCTTTCTAACAATTTTTTGATTTGTTGGGTAGGTAGTCATGGTAGTTTGATATTCATATTCACCCTTGGAGGATGACTGCATTAAAGAGTGCATCTAGAATTACAAAAAAAATTGCTTATGTCAGACGTAACAAAGACAGAGGGGAAGAATTGGACCCCACAAGAATGACCCATCTATTTGTATCCCTGAAATTACATTGTGTACCCACTCTTGCTGAAAAATATCACCTACTAAATTGCATGTACGGTATAGCTTTTAAACAGCAATTGCTTTTGTATGAGTAAAAACTAAAGTACACTATCTTTTATGTTTTCCATACATACATGTACATGTACATTCTTTCTGGAGTTGGTGTACATGTACAACTGGTTTCTGAGCATTCTGATGCTTACCCAAAGATGGAATTGTCGCCCAAGGCTTGGCTGGAGTCCAGCATGCTCTGTCCCAAGACCGTTTGAGGAAGTTTTCTCTGAAAAAAAATATACATGTAAAGTCAATATCAGGACATTTAGATATGCCTGACTGTGGTATGATGCGATAAAGTTTATACAAGAAATCTGGTCTATTTAATGTTGGAATTCACCCTTCACCAACATAATTTTGATGAGTACTACTTGTAATAAGTCAAAACCGCCCGAAAGTGCACTGCCTTTTACTCCCTGTACCGCCCAAAACCACAAATGCACTCTATAACTGATTTGTCTGTAATATTAATACACTGTAATAAAATGTGGTACAAGTGTTAATGGGTAAATATAAGAATCAGGTCTGCAATTTTAAAAGTGCATTAAAAAAAAACACCACCAACATGTACTTCTTTTCCCAAATTCTTTTGAATGTCTATGCTGGGGCTGAGTACTTTCGAATAAATTTAATAAATTCCAACTTGGACTTCATCAAATATGTATTGATTTTCAAATGCAGCGATCCAGTTAAACATGCTAAACTGACCACCGATCGGGATTTGCGTGCACCTGCACTAGTCAAAAGATTTCAAACGAGCTTTTTAAAATTCTATACAGAATAGGTAGCAGAATGGCCGACATTTGACCGATTTTAGGAAGAAATATTTCTCATGGACGCTCTCCAATCATGCGCGAAAGTGGCATTCAACAAAAGTGTGGCATCTGACAAACAATCAAACCACACAACTTATACTACGTGTCAAAGAAAAACATATCCTGTTTCTGATCCAAAATAAATCTGTTGCATACCAATTGAATTAAACCACAATTTCAGATCATGTGAACAAGGCATGACCAATTTTTATGGAGTGAGTTTCCTCTGCTTTGTGCAAGACGGTGGGATTTAAATGCCATACGAGAAAAAAAAACAGTCACTTTCAGAATCTGCCACTTTCGACTTGGCATCCTCTAATACAGCGCTGGAGACGGTGGCGGAAGGCGCGTGCTGCAGCTGAAAGCTTCTGAAGGAATGCAGGATCACCCCTGATGTCATTGCACACCTCCTATTTAATGTATTTGGTTTGCTTTTGGTACTTACAGTTTTACGGATGATTTAGGGGATTTTTTGGTCAATTTTTGGGGGGAGACCGACAGATTGACACCAAAGTGACATGTAGAAGATCTGTTGCCAGAGCTTAAAAATATGCTATTCGGATATATCGGTTGATGATCAAATATTCGAAAATTCGGTATACTTGGCTCAGCACTAGTCAAATAAATGCTTGATGTAAACTCTTTGTCCAACTACAGTACAAAATATTCATTTCCTGCAAATTAACTTTGTCCTGGGAAAACCACCAAAAAAAACGCCAACATTTTGGATGTCTTCATTGCATGTTCATGAAGTTGACAATTATTCTGAATAATGCAAGCAAACAACTCTTTGTCCAACTACAGTAAAAAATATTCATTTCCTGCAAATTAACTTTGTCCTGGGAAAACCACACACAAAAAAACGCCAACATTTCGGTTGTCTTCAGTGAATGTTCATGAAGTTGACAATTATTCTGAATAATGCAAGCAACTTCCTTCTCACATGATACGCCCATGGTTGACATGGTTAAGGTTACTGACGGTACGTGTACATTTTGTAGGTTGATAGTTTTGTTTTCTATTTCATAGGAAGATGACTTGCTGAAACCGTGACTGTGTCTCAAACAAAACAATGGGGTCATAAACAGAGTCAGAATGCAAAGAGGAAGTTGGCATGATACAAGAAATGCTCGTAGCTGTACATGACTTTCAAGGCATGATTGAATGCACAGGCCTGCACCCATGTAATGTATACTGTACATGTACAAATGTATGCTTTGCTTTTCCTGAAGAAAACAAAAATTCAAACCCTAACTATCCCAAAAGCTTTTAAATTGCAGGACCAGATTTTGCAGTATACTGTATATATTTGGTAATATTCAGGACTAAACCCTGCAAGCAGTGTAAGGCTAATCGCAAATGTTAAGGACACATACATGCACATGTATAGAGAGTGTTTGAGGCTAAATACGTTTCTTTCATTGTTGATTTTTCAGGAGATTTCCTTGTAAAAAAATACCCAGGGAGTTGAGCTTTTTGTTTGGTATTCAATTCAAGGCATGTAGGATCGTTTGCTTTTCATGCGTTTTGTTCGTTTTCAATAACATCAAAAATCCAAAGAAGAATGTTCGAAACCAAACCTGTTGCAGTTCCAGCTCAGTGGATACTAGACTTTTTGAGAGAAAAAAGTAAAAAAATAAACATGTGCAACCTTTTGATTGTCTACAGAACTCTTTATTCCCAAAATTCAGTCAATTGACTGATCATTGGAAATCACCTACATTTCTTGATTTCTTCTAAATGACAGCAAGCCAGACAGAACAATTTCACAGGGTTTAGTTTAGTACCAGTATGGTCAATAATGCAAGTATTGCTTGTTGATAATACTTAGGTACATTGGAACAAATATTTTGGGATAAATGCAATTGATCCTACATATATGCCTTTATTTAGATACAGACACAAATTTTTCTGGTTTACAATGGGATACATTTTGTAAATTTTGAAACTAAAAGCAGGGCAAATTATCTTAAGTGCTGTTGATATCAAAAAAATTGATGCACAAGTGCACGTACATATGAATGTTTTGATACAGATGTAGTCAGAACTGTCAGAAAACTTGTTGCAAGACAACTGTAAAGTTCAATGTACAATGTAGATGCCTCTCAATGTGTGTATAGGATTTTGATACTTTCAAATATTGTGAATAAAGGTTTGCATACACATTAAATTACTAGAGCGCTCATTCTTACATGCGGAGATACTTTGAATCCTCTCTGCGCACAGACATTTTGAATTCATGTGTGTGTGTATGTAGAACATAGTGAAATTAGATGGAGTGAATTTTGAAAGTGTACTCTAAATGCAACGCGCATGTACAATTTAAGCGCGTCATGACGGTTCAAAACGTCATGGCAAAAATCGCCTGCAGTAGATACGCGCACGGGTTTGCGTTGTTTGCGCAGAGCAAAATTAAACGCTCATTTACTGATCGTGCGTTTCGGTTTTGGGGGGTATTGGCTTCGATAACGCACCTGTATAGAATACAAACGCAGATTTGCAAATAGCCGTACAAAAGCCGTTCCAGTTTTCCATAGGTTTGTGCGCGAACATGGATGCGCCCAGCAGGCATCACTTTGTACATCAAGTCAGCGCTCTAGTAATTTAATATAGCTCTATGGGTACAATGCATACTACATACACGTACGGGTCCGGGTATGTACATCTATCCAAATAAGTACATGTACAGAACTGTAGTAGCAATCAGCTTTTTCCCCCACACTTTTCAGAGTAACAATACCTAGTCACGGAACACTAACTCACAAATGGACAGGACTGAAATATATGAACTCCAACACGGAAATCACGCTTGAATAAAAACACACAAATTGTACACACTCCCTCCACTGTACATGTACATGGTTCTCTTTGCAAGTGCTAAAGTCATAAAGGAAACTTCATCCATGGTTAATCCAATGAGGATGATCAATTTTCACAAAAGGCAGTCTTCTTTTTCCTCCCCCCCCCCCCCCCCCTGTACATTTAAATTTATATCAAAGTGCCATAGTTCTACCACAGAGAAACTGCATGGAGGGTTGTAATGTAAATTTAAAGGGCCATGTAAAAAAAAAAAGTTTTAATGCAATCCTTGAAAAGGCACCTTTGTGTTTTATTTAGCTTAATTTTCATTTTCATTTTGATATTTTCAAGGGTATTTCGGTGCCTTTTGGTTTTATGCTTGCAAATTTCCGTATTCATGAGCAACAGTGTGATGTCATTTTAGGCAGAAAACTCAATGTTATTTTATACAGCAATTTCAGCACCAAAAGTTGCCAGAATTTTGGATATTTTGCTGTTGTGAATTTCTCTTTTCTTTGGGGTTTCATTGAGTCAGTAAGCCAATGAGCAAACTTTTCTCACAAATGTTTTCAATGAGCAAATTTCTGATTTCACAACTTGAACAGAAAACCCCTAAACTGAACAGTGTCTTCCTGAAATGACATCACAGTAACAGCGCCCTCAGTTGTCAAGAAAAGCAAGGAAAACTTTCAACGTTTAAAGAATTGCACTTTTCAATAAAATTAACCCAAAAGGGTGTCAAGTAAATTTCTTACAAAGTTGCACAAAATGTGTTCCTTCGTAAAAATTTATGTCATGCATGTCGTGTATAAAACCTCATGAACGCCTAAAGCCAATATTTCCTCAGAATTGCACCTAAACATTACATGTAGGTACATACACAATGTTTACACAATATACTCTACATGTGTGTACTTTTTTGCAGTTTGGTTTTGTTCCGTACCCCAAAATAAACTTAACGAAACCTTTAGTGCGTGGGACGGTTGGGAATTGGTGGTGTGGGAAACACCGACAGGGAAATCCAAGGAAACACGTCCAGGAAATAGGAGCTCAAGTGGGAAATACTGGGGAAGTACTTGTGAGCCGAAGTTAAACTTTTAGGTCCATTTTTAGCTGGAAGAGGTGTCATGTGCTTAAAGGTAATATGTGCAACATTTGCAAACATCAAGAAAACAAAACTCCCAAATTAGTATGAACTGCCTTACACATGTACTTGAATGTAAGTGAATAACAGTCTCAAGCATCCTGTGAATTCATGGCACCTGGTATGCAGTTATTTTCAAGAAAAGTGGATTTTTTGTATCATTTTCCAACGATGGTCGGCCGATCCTTGTTGAAACAGAACCTAACTTTTTTCAAATTATGCCCCCAATTTTCCAAATTTAGTTAGTCCATGTTTTGTTTGCACTCCGTTACACATCTGAGAACAGGTGCAAGCCAGCTAGTCTGGTTCCCTGACCTGAAAATGCCCTAATGTCTATAAATTAGTTCACTTCGTCAGAAGCAACTAGGGAACCAGACTACAAGGACAACATTTTTTCTTGGCTTTTTCACATCTTTGAACATAAAACAAGTCAGTGTAACAATATTTGCTATGAAATACCAACCCCCAAAGCCATCCATTTCTGAAAATTACAATAAAAGCAAATGTTGTATATTACAGTACAGGCTTGAAAGTGTGTCTGTACATGTAGGTTTGTATTTAAAGCAAACACAAGGCAGAATTATATGCACACATATAAGCTCTATTCACGGGGGAGTAACTTCACAACTTTACAAAGTTGAAAGGTTAAACACATTGCCACTTGGTTAAACACACAAACTTGATACGTTATCTACCAATCTACAGTATCTACATATTTTATCTACAACTGGTTGCTTCCTTTACATTGCAGATACAAACTTTTTGTATACAAACGTACACGTACATGTACAATGTACATGTAAGTGTGCAGTTCACCATGTTTGTTAAAAAAAAAACTTCGGAAATACTCTTTATACCTGTAGAAAAATGGGACATGTTGATCTTTTGCCAAGATACTTTATGCAAAACCTAACTGAACTTCCTTGCATCTGTGTAAAGAAGTTGGTTTATTTGGTCAGACAATTACCGGGTAATTTTGGCATTTCCTGGCAGTTTACCATAATGTGGAGCGTTTTCGCAAAATGAGACAAAACTCGGCAGAGGTCGAAATGAAGGTTTGTAGTTATTAGAAAGAGAATAAAATCCTCATTACAATACTGTTTGTTGCACTTCAATCGGGCATTCCGTTGACAAGTTGTTTAAACTTTGCATTTATCAACATGTCTAAAAAGTAAAATCCTGAGAAAAAGGCGTAGTCGTGAAAAATGAAAGATGCCAATTGATTTTCCTTGAAAGCACTTTTATTCTACAATTTTTTTTTTTTTTACTATAAATTTCTTAAAAATATGTGTAGTAGGCATAGCAAAGACTACAAATAAAAATAAATCTGAAAATCAAAAAAAAAAAAAAAATTCAATTTTTTTTCATTTTTCTCCACTACTGCCTGTGGCCAGTTCCATCAAATGTTGCCAGAACGCCTCACATGTTTGTCTGAACAATAATGGACACCAGTCACATTAATTCTTTAACTGTAAGTTACTGCAAAGGAAATGGATACGCTGCATGCAGCAGCTGAACAGTGATTGAAACCGTTTCATTTTGCCAGAGTAGTTATCAGGTTATCAAGTGTAATTGAAGCACCTGGTATAGGCATCAGTTCTATGTGAAAACTTGACCTTGCACTTCAGTTGAAGTACACCCAGGCATGTACACCTACACATGTACAATGTGCATGTACTCTATGACAACAGCTTCATTGTACATGTTAGTACAAGCCTTTCTGATATAACTTGTATGCCAGATTGAACTTTCAGGGATTGAACTTTCAGTGATAACCTTTTAACGCCTACATGAACATGAATTCCTGAACAGGGGGACCAAAAATGACAAAGAAAGGAGGAAGTTTGAGTTGTTTGGACTGCATTTGTTATCACACAAGCGTGAGTGGAACACAGAATAATGAAGTGTGTTTGTAGCATATTAGGAACACAGACGCACTACATTTTCCGTCTTCCACATGTGAGAGTGGGACAATGAGTTAATGGCGAACTTGGCACACAATAACGATTGGAATGCTTTTCAGCAGTTATGCAGCAGGTAGCACTCGCATCTTAGAACAGCAACAGGGTGGTATATGCACTGTGGTAAACGGGATTTTTTGTTTCGGATGGCATGCGCTCAGAGGGATAAAAAACAACATACATGTATATCCCACATCATAGCAGTCAACAATTGTTTCGTGATATTATGCCAGTAAGTCAAAACGATAAATGAAATCACGGCGATGTAACCTTTGATAACTGCAGGCTTTCCTCTCGGACATGAGACCGAGCAGTTGGAGTTCTCAGTCTCGACCGCAACGAATGCAATGTGATATGCATTTCATACACTGGATACGTGGCCATTCTAGACAAATGAAATTACTGTATCCAAGCACACGATATAACAAAACGAATTGTTGCCATGGATCGACCAATCAGTATCGAGGACTCAAGTTTGCTTGAAAATAAACTGGTGGGCAGTAGATGGCGCTTCGCAATAACCCACGCGAGCTTCCACATGCCAGACACACTGCGCGCATACAGTCGTGTTTTACTATACTCTCGAGGACAATGCTTTGTGTTTCCCTTTGTCCCTGTAATATACATGTAACACTCTCCCATAACACTCTCCCAAGCACATAATTGTACGAAAGAGGACCTTTTTCAACACAAGACCCAACTCCGAGGACTGAAAGGATCTGTTGTTCTCCCTTTGTGTGTTGGTCCTCGGGGGTTATGTAGAACACGTACACACACACTGGTTTAAATACACCTGGCGCGAATCATCCAGGATTGAGTGCCAAGCACACGCTTGTGGACTCTGCATCGACATGAACGCATAGGTGCGCAGTTGCAGCAGCAATGGCATTCAAGTGCCTTCAATATTGGCACTATTACAAGATTTGAATTTTTTTTTAATTCCCCCCCCCCCCCCAACTTTCACTCCTGAGTATACACTGAGTATACAGTGTATAAACGTCGGTGAAGGGCAAAACCTAATTTGATTTATATCACCCCGACGCAAAAATTCAAATCTTGTAATAGTTTATGCGGTACCCGCTGCTATGTACATCAGATTCGAACCAGCCAACTGATCCCGTTAGCTCTGCACTAGAAAGCAGGAGGTCGTGGGTTCGAGTCCCACCCGAGTAATTTTTTCCAACTTTCACTCGGGTGGTAACACACTGAGTATACAGTGAGTATACAGTGTATAAACGTCGGTGAAGGGCAAAACCTAATTTGATTTATATCACCCCGACGCAAAAATTCAAATCTTGTAATAGTTTATGCGGTGCCAATTTGAATATTGGCACTCGTATCATTTTTATAGTTAAGTTGATACTTGTGAACAAAGTTCATAGGGCTTCAGTTACAAAGATACAGACAATGAGACCATGTTTGAAATTACCTGGCTACAGCTTGCTAATTACACATGTGCCCAAGGAAGCGGCTGAAGCCTCTTCCCATAGGCTCATGTGTTACAGCCAGCCATAGCCATTAATTCAGATACGGCCTAAGATATAATTTATACCGTTCTCTTCTCCACGTCTTGGCCACTTCCTTGTAGACATGCTGACAGCTTTTTGACTGTTTTCTGGCAGGCATCCTTGATGATGTCAACTTTCTTCTCACACTGAAAAAAAAAAAAAAAAGATTTTTAAGTTGAGCAAAGAATTTGACTGGAGCAGGGTATGAATCTGCAACCTCCAGATTGCTGTTCCGGTGCTCTACCAACTGAGCTAGCCAGCCCTGTGTTGGCGGTTCCCCATTTTGTCAACATCGTTGTTCAAGGGGCGTTAGTCAGAAGCCATGAACCCACACATGCAATGTAGCCAGGGATCACGCCAGAAGTCACAATGCTAGCAACATTAGCAATGTTGCACCTGGTCAGTTACCCTGTTTGGTTTATTTGGGGGGGGGAGGGTGAAGTTCAACAAATTTCTTCTCCATTTATGACTTCGAGAAATTATTTTTAAAAAGTCAAGCAGCTGATTTCACGAAACTTTACGCAATGGCGCAAATCTACTGGCATCACAATTTATTGTGTAAGTTGCACAACATTTCATGCTGCGCAACGTTTCCCTTATGACACATTTCACAAAAATCTCATAATGCATTAGTCCGCGACTTGCACAATCAATTACGGCGTAACTTGCGCAATCATTTTTGTGGGCATAAGGTGTGGTGTAGCGACTGAAAATGACCTATTTTACAAGTAAATCGTGATCGTTGTGGAGCCTGTCATTGCACAACTTATCAAGGTTGATACAAGACACCACAACTTTGTGTTTGAAGTAAATGAATTGCTCTTTTACAAGTGACAGAAATTTTAAAGTTGCCGCACGAATCCCGAAGAAAGTCACACAAAATTATTTTCAAAATGGCGGGCTGAGGTGATTCAACATCGGTTTCAAGAACAAAACAAATCATACACTATCCTCGTCCAAGATGTTTAGATTATTTAAAACGTTGCGCAGCTACGCCAAGTCTCGTGAAATCGATCATAAGCTTATTGCGCAGCTGCGCAACACATTTGTTGCGTAAGTCCTATGCATGGCACAAGCTACAAGTACGTACTTTTTCGTGAAATCGTCTGCAGGATTATCAAGCTTGTACGTGAGTAGTGTTTACATGAAAATGGATCTTTACAATTTACATACAACTGGTACTTGAAATAATTTGTTTACTTTTTTGACTGATTATCATTCCTTTCGAACACTTTGCTTTCCGCATGTTTGTTGCGAAAGAATAGTTCCTTTGTTCCACTTGATAGCTGGGCTGAAGTCCAATTTTAACATGAAATACTGGTCTAAATATTTCATGTGTTACAAGTCCACTGCACCAAAGAAATCATTTGGTACAGAAATCATTCGACGAAATAATTTTGCACTAATCTAAGCATGGAGATTCTAAAGTACCGCGTCTGGCAATTAAGATTAGGTTTGGGTACAATGAACTGGTACCCTTGAACATACAACTCTTTCACTGAAGAGAGTTTCAAAAGTCCCGGTTATGTTTGCTTAATATTACTTGGAAGTCAAGGTAAGGAAAAACCCTTACACAGCATCAAAATAATTGAACCTTTTTTGTTTAACTTGTCTTGGAATTGTCCCATGGAAATTCTGTGAAACAGCCATTTTTCTCCCTACATGTGTTTAAAGGGTACATGCTATTTATAACAGCTTTCTTGCTATGTAACTATCGGTATGACTTTCCATCTGCTTTGTAGCAGCAACAGGGAGAAATTTCAACATTTTAGTTTTTATGCTAATGAAAATTTTCATACTCATGAGCCAAAGCGTGATGTCATTTAAGGCAGAACAGCAGTGTCTCCATAGCTTTGTGTACAAATATATATTAACATTTTCTTCATTTTCTTGGAGTATGTTCGACCTTTAACTTGTTTATCATGTTAAACAGCTTGTTTGGACAAAAGTAGTGGACAATATTTCTTCAAAACTTTTTTTTTGAGTAAATGTGAAGGACTTATTTTTGTACTGTTCATATGCAATTTTGACAAGGAGTACCTTGTGTGACAAAAGCAAAATAACGCCCTCTTACATGTACATGTATTGATGAAAGGATTTGCTAATAATTGAAAACTTACCACTTTCTTGTCACTTCGAATGAAAACAAGTATTAAGATCACGTATGTATTTTCGCAACACACAGTAATGTGCATGTTTTCTTTAAGTGTGTCAAAGTGAACCTCAAATTAACTTACAGCGCGACGGGTTTTCTACTGACATAAATTGTCTAAGAAACGAGAAAGATTTTGGTGACCTACCTGTTGAAGATCATCATTCAATACTTCTGTTTTCTCTGCCCTGTGAACAAACAAAAAAGATTACTTGTCAATCACAATCTCCAATATTTGTCACAGTTACCAATGTTTATATAATTTGTATGCTACTTGAAACCATAGTTTTTATTGTGATATGTGAGGAAACCGCAAGGTGGGGCTGAGGTGATGTGATGGGCTCATATCCCTGGTTTGTAACATGATTCCCATATCAACATCATCTTTTATTTCACTGAACGTGAAAATATGAATTCTGCAGCTTGCTATGACAATGCCAGTTGTGATGCCAAAACAAAAAAAATTGTGTTTACGGTAACCTGACCTACATGTACAATGGTATGGATTTTTTTAGGCCAACCTCAAACTTTGTATTGTCATGCTTGGCCAAAGGGTTGTTTTTTTTAATAAAAAAGTCTTAAAGAGTTTTTGTGTTCTTTTGGTTAATTAAATACCGTATTTAAAAAAGTTAATTAAACAGAATAATGTTCAAGGTACCGGTACTCCGAAGTAAACACCGTACAATGTAAGTATTAAAATAGCAAGAAACACACCAAAAAGTTACAAATAATCTTATTTGCCTACCTACGGTACCTACCTGGATAATTTTTAGGGCATTACTGTAATGGTAAACACACAATTGTTTTTCTCGGCCTAATTACGGTACATGTACTTTGGCCTGAAATGAGAAATTTACTTAAGGGCAATTCCAATGTTACGAAAGGAAGCGTAATGTCCAGGACAGAGCCAGTTAACCATTATGTCTAATTAATGATTCAGAGAAATGAACCGAAACTCCTAGTCTGTAATCTCCTTGACCATTACTAGATGGTGGATACATACATTTTTTTTGTTACTTGTATGTACATGTACAAGATTTGAAAATACATTTTCGGATTTATTCGCTGAACTCTGAATTTCTTATTAGGCCAACAAAAAAAAGTCTCCGGTTTCTGGTATGGAGCTTGCCCAAAAAGTGGTGCGGCGACGCGGCTTTTTTTTTTTTTTTAACCTGTTTTTTTTGCTTCAAATGTCGGCTGATGACTGCAAATGGTGCCCGACTAAACTTAGTGCAAATATTATGGGAGACCAGAGAGGCCACATAAAGCTTATTCTCGATCATAACCCCATCTAAAAACACGTTAACATTTTGCAGCAGCAGAATTCCAGTCAAACACGTGAGTTTGGCGGTTTTGAGACATCATCTTTCATTGAAAAAAAACTTTTTCATTTTGCCGACGCGCATGGCTACGGTGACGCGAGCGCATACCAGAAACCGGAGACTATTTTTTTTTGGCCTTAGCTCTGTCACAGACGTTACATCACACTGGAATTACCCTTGACCGTCCTGTGCCCTCCGATGACTGCAACATTTACTGCCGCAGGAAATTTTGGAAAAAGGGCAAACCGTGTGTGAATCACTCACAGAGGATGTACCGGTAGCTTTACATTACAAATCATAACTGGAAAAACCACAATGGGAAATAGACTCAGCTCATTTGTACTCAATATTAGTCTGATGATTTGTAATAACAAGCCACATCCTCAATGAGCGAAACCCTGATTGCTACACAAAACTGTATTTCCCAAGTTTTGCAACATTTTCCTGGACATCACAAGTTCAAATCCTACTGCACATTATTGCTTCGCTCAGACTTACAATATTGACTGCAAGTGAACCTCATTAGATTCCCAAATAGTTCATAAGATGTTACTTTATAGCAGAAAAAAATGTTGCTTAGCAAAGTTGGTTTACCAGCCAAATACCATACATTTATATTAATATTGACTGGTCCTCTGATGTTTGCTTAGCACATACATGTATAACATTACTAATTTTGCTAATATAGCACTATATACTCTGTTTGGAAGCTCCGTGAAGCTGGGCCACAGTTAGAAACTCACATTAATTGATACTCAACAACCAGTGATAGCGGTCTTTTCTGATCAGTCCTAAGCAACTTTGCTTCTGTCAAAGTACAAAATTAAATGTATACAATGTAGCCGGACATTGCTTTAAACTTTCAAACTAATCAATGCAAACATGTATACATGTGTATGTACATGTATGTACGGGTATGTGCGCAACAATGCCAAAATGGGCACATGTGGTCTAGCGGTGGAGCACAGGATTCATGATCATGAGGTTGTGGGTTCGAGCCCCACCGTGGCCATGCGTGTTGTGCCCTTGAGTAAGGCGCTTTACCTCAATTACTCCACTCAACCCAGGTGTTAAATGGGTACCGGCATTATTCAATGCTGGGAAGGCAACAGACTCGCTGTGGAGGAGGTGTGGCAATCCCCCCCCCCCCCCCCCCCCCCCACAGCAGCATATGAGTCTGGCCCAATCGCTAACGAAAGAGAGTGGGCATTCCGTTCCTGTAACACAGGTTTGTACAAATGTGTACATAAATTTACATATAGAGGGAAGAAGTTTTTTAATTTTTTCTAAATTTATTTCTGTGTGGAACTCGTCACTGAGTGGGGGGGGGGGGGGGGGTTTCACCCCCTCCCCCCCCTCCCCCCCCCCCCCCAACAGGCCTGACATGTACAGTGTATGTATAAATTTTCCAAGTTGTTTTCTTATCAAAAGTTTGCATCTGTACTGGTTTATGTCAACCATATACTGGTATAGATGTACACTGAATGTACATGTACTTGTGCTCCCTGGAAGAAAAATAATAGGGGCCTGGCTAACACTACTAAGTCACTTCCTTTCCTAACCTTACACTTTCAGCCAGCGGTGCAACTGTCTAGTGACACTGTGCATGCTGGATTAAATGAAAGTGAAATTTCAGCCAAGATAATTTAGCAAGGAGGAAATATCATCTGAATCAGGGAACACCAAGTCCCCTGTAAAAGTAGTACCTCATGTTTGGGTCCTTCTATAATTTTGGGGTCCACTTTTTTCCTGTTCCGTGAAATCTGATGTAATATTTTGAAGTCATTCTTAAAAGCTTTATGCAATGTAAATGTGTTAATGCAATCCTTGAAAACGAACCTTTGTGTCCCATTAATCTTATTTTTTATGTTCAATTTTTGTTTTCCCATTTTCAAGGGTATGTTGGTGCCTTTTTGGCTTTAAAGGGAATGTACATCATTGGCAATTGTTGTAATTTTCAGAAATGAACTATTTGAGGGGTTAGTATAATAGATCAAATATTGTTACACTGACATGTTTGAAGTTTTGTGTTCGAAAATGCTGGAAAAACTAAGAAAAACAAAAATGTTCGAGGAGTCTGGTTCCCTGACTCCACTAAAGATGAAATGGATCAATTTATAGATGCCAGAAAATTGTAAGGTAATGGAACCACTCTAGCTGGCCTGCACCCATTCACGAACATGTAACCAATAGCAAACAAAATTTGGACTGAACAAAAATGGTAAATTGGAGCAGTAGTTGAGAAATAGTCAGGTTTTTCCTACGGTGGTCGGCCGACCACTGTTCGAAATTTATACAAAATACCAATTTTCTTGAAAATGACTTCACACCTGGTGCCATAATTGTACAGGATGCTATAAACTGTCATTTACCAACATCCTAGTAAGGTTTTTCGTAAAAAAAGGGTAGTTTTGTTTTCCGATGTTTGCAAATGTTGTAAATTCCCTTTAATGCTCATTATGTGAACTTCCATCTTTGGAAATTACCTTTTATTGTTTTCTTCAAAATGACAGCATGCCAGACGGAATAACTTCACAGGGAGTTTAGTGTCATTAACCCTAACTCCCTAGCATGATTTACTAGGAACCATACCAATCCTGGCAAATTCCCACACCATATTGGAAACTGCACACACATAATTTCTGACTTAAAATTAAAAGACTTTCAGTTTAGGGGTAGTGTACCCAGCCATCCCGACAGATTCCAACAAAACAATGCTGTTGGGGTTTGATGGGTTGAGTTCTGTTTAATAGGGTTAATATCTTCCAAACATGTAAGCTTTCCAACAATAATTTGGTCGGTTACTTTGTGGATAACTGCAAATGTTCTACGCTAACTGAGCCGGTTGACTAATTGGCTTCCATGCCCCTACGTTTGTCTAGACTTGCACTATGCATCAGTGTACATGCACTTGAATAGAAGGTGTGTGACTGTCTTAAAGGGAATGTACAACATTTGCTTTTGCTGCAATTTTCAGAAATAAATGGATTTGGAGGATTAGTATGTTATAGAAAATATTGTTACACTGACTTGTTTCACGTTTTGGGTTCGTAGATGCTGGAAAAACCAAGAAAACCAATCATATTATTGTAGTCTGGTTCCCTGACCCCACTTAAGATAAAACGGACAAATTTATAGACTTTGGGGAATTGTAAGATCAGAGAATCAGTCTAGCAGGGTTTTAGTTTTCACATGTGTGTAATCAATTGCAAAGAAAATGCAGACGAACGAAATATAAAAAAGTAGGAGCACTTTTTGAAAAAGGCCAGTTTTCTCCAACGCTGGTCGGCCGACCAGCGTTGGAAAAATACAACTTTTCTTGAAAATGTCAGCACACCAGGAGCCACAATTTCACAGGATGCTTTAAGACGGTCATTCCCTAACAATCCAGTAAGGTATTTCGTGATAATTTGATCATTTCGTTTTTTGATGTTTGCAAATGTTGTATCTTCCCTTTAAACTGTACAAAGTGTGAAGGTTTTTATACTTCACAGATTTGTGTGTATTTGACTACAAGGCCCACCTGAAGGCAATGCAAACATCCAAAGGTGCATTATCTGATGTACAAACCCACTGATCACTCATCAATGCAATCCAAGTTCACAATACCGGGTATCAAGCGCTATCACCCTCGACCCTTTAAATGTCAATAGAGTTGGGGGGCAGGGCAGCTAGTCCTTGTTACAACACTGTACATACATGCACAATGTATACTCAACTTCAAGGCATCGCATTTCAAACTACAATTATTTACATTATCATGAACTACGTGTGGCCGTTTCATGAGCAATTTGTATGATGGCGGACAATCATGACGAATTACACACGTACATGTGCATTATAGTTATCCTATAAGAGTTGGTAACTAAACATGTTGTATTCTCCTTTCTTTACATCCAACACATTTCTTAAGTAAGATTTGAGGCTTTGCTTGGTGGAGATACTAAACAATGAAAGGTTTGCGGAAACACCATGTGCGAATAATTTCTCAACTAAGAGAATGGTTCTGAAAAGAACCAGAGGTATAAACTCTAGTTTATAATTAGGCCTATATACATTATACGACTTTATACCTCTGGTTCTTTTCAGAACCATTCTCTTAGTTGAGAAATTATTCGCACATGGTGTTTCCGCAAACCTTTCATTATTTAACATTTTTCTTAACATTTTCCATACAGCAAAGATAAAGAATGGAGTATTCACCAAGTCTCAATTCAGTTTTATTTAATGGGATATTTCTTCAATCATTTGGCACCAGACTGACCAGAGACACCACCAAAGTGTTTTATACATATGGAGCATTACAAAACTAGCCTGGCAAATGTCCTTTTCTTTAATAAAAATTGACAATTCAGTACTTAATGGCATGACTGTGTAAATAATATGAACTTTGAAGCTTGGTTCCATTTTTTAGAACAGTTTACTTGTGCAATGTGAATGAAGTGATGGACTGGGTTTTTTTTTCATTGGCCAACTGGTCTAGGTTTTTTTCTTCAAGTTTTCACTATCTCAGTTTTGGGAATCTCAATGTCCCAAAAGTTCAGGCAAGCTCTTTGACTAACTTCAAAAGTCGAAAATAAAATGTCTTTAAATTTTAAAGACGGGGCATATTTGTGAACACTTTTTGTAATGTTGAAAACAGGTGCGATAACCATGTAAACTTCCCCGACTTAATCATCATTGCTAGTCCAAGAAATGATGCAAAGATAAATCAATCATATTGTTGTTAGTACAGTGTTCATTGCTCAAGATTTATATTCGTATAAAGACAACAAGGGAATCTCCAACATCAAGGGTTAAGATTAAAAAAAACAAATTCCCTTGAAACTTTGTATATTTTACACTGCATCAAAAGTCTGTAGATTTCATTTTATTTGCAGTATGTTCACAAACAATTTTTTTGTGGGTGCTATCCAACATTTTACGTATACAGGTATGGGACAAAGTTAACGTTAAGAATCTGTCCAGCTATAGGCCTACTGGAAAAATATTAAAAGGATATTCATAAATACCTAAGACAGTTTACGCATTCCTATTGGTCGAGAGCCCGTCACGTGGCCGGTCTTAAACGGATGATAAAGACATGGCTACCTTGTCTTAAACACTTTTCCAGTGTCACAATAAAATGTGGACTCCTAAAATCCAGTGCCTCTTATCCGTTATCGTTTCATTGGTTGAACGTTCACAATCCTCACGTAGGCATGCGCAACACTACCAGGGAGTCAGAATTTTATAGTTCTAAATTCAAAACGCAACGCGCCAGGTGCGTTCTGCGCGACATCGCGCAGAACATGATACGCGCGCGTCAATCTCCATAAAAGGGTTGTTTACATCTTACTCGCCAGCTGAACACTCCATTATTTTGCAAGACGGATGTTTCAAAAAGCATAGAGTGAATTTGTTGAACGAAATCGGGATGTTTTGAACGAATTCTATTTTTTTTTTTTACCGAAAAGGTATTTATGAATGGGAATAAATATGTGCTCCGTCGGTATTTATCACTCTGTTTAGGACCTTTTAGAGTCTGGGTGCTGATAATTACCCTCGCCTCTGGCTCGGGTAATTATCAGCACCCAGACTCTAAGTGGTCTTAAACAGAGTGATAAAAACCTCCGGAGCACACATTTATTCCCTTAATAAATGTCCATACAAGTTTAAATCAATACTCAAACAACACTTGAGAGTATTCTATACATGTTTACATGTACATATGTATAATAAAAGCGCTCAATTAATTTCTGTTTAAAAAATTTCACCAAGATTTTATATATAAGTTATGGCGCTTAAGCACATTTTAAAGGGAATTATGGCCTGGAATGCGCCCCACTGTGCTACAAAATGTGTTTCAAACAAAATCATATGAATTGGACAGATCATTTAAAGGTAGGATGTAAACGTCAACACAACCATCCTTTAAAAACTAGGGCGGAGGGGGGGGGGTTGTGTTATTCTTGCGAGAACCATGCAAGAACGAATTTTGGGGTCACAATTTTGTGTATTACGTGAAACACACACAACCGACAACATGTACAGTTCATTGAATATTGAGACTGCTTGAAATATGCTTATACCACAAAATTTCAACCGCGTCCGATGTAAACAACAAGGTTGTTTTCGTCTTTTCTCGGGAACGATGAAACATTAGGTTAGTTTCCTATCAAGCAGACATTTGAAATAGGATAAGTATCATAAGTAGACAATCCAAAACATGACATTTTCGGGGGTTTCAGGCCAGAATACCCCTTAAAAGGTTACATGGAAATGGTTGTTTTCTTTTCAACCGATTTTACTTTGCTTGTCAACTGAAACATTGTTTCTGTTTCTTTTCTTTTCTGTTCTGTTCTTTTCTTTTCATGCTTTTAATCAAATCGTCTTTTTATTTCAGTGGATTTCATTTTCTTCTTCGTAATCAGTGGCTTTGGAGGATTTGTTGTTAAAGGGAAATAAAGTCCGAGAACATGGAGAACAAGTCGGTTGAATGATAATCTGGTTTCAACAACCAAAGATAATGACGTTGAATAATACAGGTCAGGGAACCAGACGATTCCATAACAATAGCAGTTGAATATTGCATTACAGCTACCATAACAATAGCCAGTGCATTTTTTTTTATTGACATTAACTTTAAAAACATGCAAATGACAAATGATTTATACAATGAAATCATCATCATCTAGCAGTCACAACTGCGATCTCGTTCACGCCACAAGTCATTATCCATCAATATGAACGGAAGGTCTTCAATTTCAACTCTTTAGTTGGGCCGTCAATACTTTGCACAAAGCTTGTTGGATTGTCGTACATGTACATGATGGCTATAGCTTTGACAATCTCATCTGGGACACTGTAAGTGTAATTCAAGAGGATTATGATTCTGTTTGTGTGTAGTTTTCCTTTTGGACAGATCTAACGGAGCTAGGCCTATGGAGGGTTCAAACTTTTCCAATAGGGCAAGATTACCATATGCGAAGTTCACTAATTTTCCTCTGTATTGACTAACAAGCCCTCAGATAGCAATTTCATGTCATCAAAGTCAATTTGAGCAGTGAGAAAATACAAGCATTTTCTTAGAAAACACTTGGAATTTTTCAGTTCAATCTCATAGGGTTTGTACACAGGGTGTTGAGTGAACTTCGTATGGAAATCTTTCCACCTATTGTAACATTTTTTTTTAAATGTCTCACCTCAGAATATTCTGCTTAGCCAGCTGCTTCATACGATTATACTGTTTGCCCATCATCTTGAAGTTGTTTTGATGCACTGTGTGGCACTGGCAGATGCAAAAAAAATGTAGGCCTACTACATCCACAAAGACAGTCCAAGTCTCACTCTTACTCTTACTAGAAAAGTATCTGCTTTAATGCCTGACGTCCTTTCTAATTGTAAAGTACTCTCTGCACGGACATGATGATTGTTGTCAACGTACAATCACTATGTTCCTGGTCCTGCAGGATACAGGGAAGCAAGGCCAACAATCCTAACAATGTGTCGCGTTAAGGTGCGTACTCGACTCGACTCCCGTATTGTTGGAATGGGATGCTATTAAAATACACTGTTCGCTTCGTGACAATCGGCTTTTGGTGAAGTGCAGTTGTTGGGTTTTTTTCATGTAAGCCTACACTGACTAGACTAACTACGGCTCTGGCTTGTTGTGACAAAAGACAGTACTATTTTGGGAATGTTAGCATGACAGGCGTGCTGGTTGGCGCAATGAATATCAGCAAGACATCAAACAAATGCCGCAGAACCGAAACAAGGAAGTGAACCTACAAATCTGAGCACCGACTGTACTGAAATGAAGGCAGTGCGGTTTCCTGACATCAACACAGCCCTTTAACATGCATCCCGGGTAGGGTGAACCCGACTATTGCTATTACAGTATTAGACTGGAACTCAGACCTCGTGGAATGAGGATCATAATGGCGAAGAATATTTCTGAGGATTGAGGGCTCCGTGTTGCTAGGCACTTGTTTCCTGCAGGCGGATTGGCAGAGAGCGCTATAAGCGCTTTCAACATGTAAGTCAACTTGACCACGTGGCACGTGGCAATATTATCAAAGGGTGCATTTGGGTAGCCAGTCATGAGGTAAATTATTGCTCGATCGTCTCTCAGTGAATTGCACATCTGCATTGCATGCAGTGTGTCAAGGGATAGACTTGATTAGCGAGTGTGCTAATTTCTAGCCTTTTTACCCAATGTAGACAGTGGGGGCGCACAGGGGAACGTGCCCCTCCCCCCTCCCCCAGCGAAGGTCCGTACCCCCTGGGTTCCCCCATTTAAAATCTTGAATTGAACAAAAACAATATATCGGTTGCCTTCAGTGCCATGCCTACCTTGAAAAAAATTGGTGCACCCGCAAGATGCCCTCTAAACCCTACATGTAAAGTTACACTGCTGATTGTTAGATCTTTTTTTGTTAAATTTCGCAATGAGTTTTATTGTGCATGTTATTTCTGTCAATTGGGTAATAAACCAAACCAAACCAAACTTTGCTCACCCGGGTCGACTCGGTTAGCCAACGGTATGCCGTCATACTCGAGGCTCACCCTGCAGTGTCGTGCGCGTGGAGCAGAACCAGCGGTAATTACGTCACATGCATGCCGGTTGTTCATTCCAAGAAACAGACAAATTTATTTTGTCGGCCGAGAGCGGTAAAGCTCAAGTGGAAGTCTAAACATAAAATGTATTTGAAGTCTAAACATAAACATTTATTGAGCTCTTTGCGACTTAAGAGGCTATAATTCCTGTCTGACTTTGTTACTTCTCTCGATTGACGGAAAAGCAGTCAATCTCAAAAGTAAGATTCGGTCCGAATGAGAGTGTTTTGTCAAATGCGGTCACGGCTACGGACGTCACTGAGGATCGTAATGGCCCGCGTTTGAGCGTTCGACTCGATTGAGCCCGGCTTTCGTGTGGCTAGTCCGTCTGCCTTTACCCGAGTCGATCGGCCGAATGAGCTACTCGAACGTACTCCAAGTACATTGTTGCTTTTGTGTGTGTTTTCTTCAGCTCTTAGCATCTATGCGACATTAAACACCTCCGACGTAAAGGCTGGTTCAATATGGTAAATTTAGAACTTCAAGAGCCAGAAATTTGTTACAGAAAGATAGTTTAGCCTAATTAATTTCTAAGTTTTTCGAACAAGGTCGAATGCACTCGTTTTCAATACAGGCCCAAAGTTATGCAGAAGTCAGCTTCGGCTCTTTTGGACTGGGATGTCAGTGAGTAACCAAGGTGGCTATGATGGGCGCGTTCCTCAAGCCATTTTCTCGACCCCTGTTCCGTTGAGGCCCCCAAAATGGCCTGCAACCGATTTCACGAAGCCCTGCGACGCGTCGCAACTCGAGTTACGACGTGTAACACGTCGCAACTCGCGACGCATCGTATCTTCCATTTCACGAAAGTTGCGATGTGTTGAACGCGTCGTAAGTTCCTTGACAACGGCTTAAAACACGTCGCAAGTTACGACGTGTCTAGTGGTCATCGCAAAATAAGAAGAGTCATTTCTAAGCCAGTTTTATGCCACAAACATTACATTAACGAGATCATAATACCGAGGCAATGTGTGTAAAGTTGTAAATAGAAAATTCATTGAATAATTATGAATTAGACCGGAAATTAGAGTTGAAATTTCAAAGTAGCTATACAGTCCGATGAGAGCTTGTTTTCCTTCAAAATTGCATCGCACGGCCGCCATTTTGTTTTACGTTTTAACAAATTTTGAGCTGAGATCCGACGACTCTTTGTTGAATATCAGACGACTATTTACTGTACGCTGACTAAAGACATAAAACAGTCACCGAGTTGTGCTATAAATACACATACGACGCGTCGCACTTACGACGTGTTTCGTGAAATGGATCGCCGGACGTGTCGCAGCTGCGACGCATCGTAGGGATACGACGCGTCGCAGCGCTGCGATGCATCGTAAGTTACGAAGAGTTTGATGAAATCGGGTGCTGCCTCAGTTTTCGTTTGACCGACACAACATAATATATTATTTTGCAATTTATTTTCTTGATTTTTGTTGTTGTTTTTTGATTTCTCTGAAATGTTCTTCAGATTTTGGATTTTCCTCAAATTTCGTTAGATTGTTCATTTCCTTAGAAATTTCCTTAGGACTTTAAAACTTCCTTAAAAGTGGAAGCACTGGCCTAAACTCGTACCCACCACCCTGCTGGTACGTACGAGGCACTGGCCGGGCGGCCAATTATTTTTTCCCAAATGAGATCCGACAATATCAAAAGAGGTCGCTCTCTCTCCCTCTCTGCGCGATGCAGATGATGTCTATAGGGCCCAGCGGCGTGGCCCCCGTGAAAAAAATTGTGCCCCCCCCCCCCCCCCCCACTAAATTTGGCAAACGGAGAATATCAGAGTCCTCTAAGTTACAATGCTTAGCTCGTTTTAATAAGATAAAATGCCTTTTTTTCACGTTTACTTTGTATTTTTCACGAAAACCCCTTTTTTCACGATTGGTTGTTTATTTGAACGTCCCGTGGACGGATGGAATAGCGTCATCTATTGTCTGAGTATTGACCAGAGAAATCTGTTCGTTTTTAACAGCGCCCTCAAAATTGTATCACTAGAGGGCGCTATATATCAGCCACAGTCATAAAGCATGAACTTTTCAACTTTCAACCTATTCCCCCATGGTGTCGATTAGAACGATACAACCATGCTCTCTCGCCCCGGTACTGGCTCATTTGCATGTTCGAAATCTCTCACATTATATAATTAAGCTAGGTGTGGAATAGTCTGGTGCCTAGCCATGCTTTTAAAAGTCACTGTTTGTTCTTGTAAAAGATGTCTCAAAATAAAGAATATCAATTTTTAAATGTAGATTGTCAGAAATGTACTGAATATTTCAGAAATGGGTAACATCACTGTATCCGGATGAATGAGCTAGGAAGGTCTATATGAAAGAGGTCAAAATCAGCTCTGTGACCAGTAAGTGCACAATGGAGAAGTGATCAATGCGAATAGGTGCTTCATTGATAAGTGAGACAATCTTACCGTCACTGATCACTCAATTCTTTTCATTTGTCTGGTAGTTACATAATAAATTTATGATCCTGTGCCCTCAACATGACCGCCTAGTTCATGCTCCGACAGCACGTCCCACCATTCCTTACGCTGATTCATCTCAATCCACTATCTCGGTTTTCAACTCCTCAATGTTTAATAGCTACTTAGTGGCGTGATGAAAACCTTGTCTTTGAAGTGACTCGTCAAGAAAAAGTCACGAGGGATCTGGTGATCTTGTGGCCATTCAACTCGATGGAATAAAGCAATCACCCTGTCAAAAGCTTTGCCCAACGATGCATGCCCCAGCCCACAGCAGCAAGTCTGTGTGGCAGTGCCCGGGCCCACCACATCAATTTGAAAACTCCACATCGCTGTCTTGGGAAGATCAACTTCAATATGTAGTACCATAAAATCATTATCACATCCAGACATTAGGCTGGCCTCTGCTACCTTAAACAGCAAAAGAATAACATGTCTGCCCTTCCACTCAGGTAAAAACTTCGCACAGTGCAGATTTAGATCTCTTTCACAGAAGCCTTGTTTGCTCAGTCATCCATGGCAATGACATAATGAAATTAATACCATTGGACAGAGGACATCCTGGCATTTTCCCTTGTTGCCTCTTTCTGAAATATTCTTTACATTTCTGATAATTTACGTCCAAAAAATGGGTATACCTTATTTTGAGACGGAATTTACATGACTAGGCCATCAGCCTAGGTTCAAAACTTTGGCCACCGGTATCAAATGAGGGGAATAATCGTCATTGCGATTTTTGGCAAGGTTTACACCTCCGGAGTTGGAAAATATGTGATAGCATTGCAGCGGTGGTAGCTTTTTGGGTGTTATCACCCTTTTTTTTCAAAATGTCCATCAAAATGCTTGTTACCGCTCTAGGGGCGGTATACCTTGCGCATGCTCACTATAATCATTAACGCCCTGATTTGATACTGACCAAACCCCAGGCTGATGGCCTACACGGTATTTGGTTGACAAGTGTACACAGGTAATCAGTTACATCGTCGACAAACACGTGGTATTTTTTTTTTCAATGTTGTAATGTTATACATTACATATTATATGTAGTAGTTTGTTTTTTACATGTAATTACTGGATTTATAAGTTTTAATATATCTTTTTAATTAATGATTGTATTTTTTATAACCCGTTCTTTGTCAAGGCCATTTTAATTTCACTCCTGAGGGATAATAAAGTTCAATCTTATCTTATCTTATCTTATCTTATCTTATCTTATCTTATAATCTTACCCATCCAGCATTAAATAGGATTACACAATAGATATCATTATACGCACAATGGAAAAGGTAAGATGGTTTCAGAGAAGGCTTGGACGTAAATTTCACAATGGACGTTAAAGAAGGTAATACAAGTTGGAAATGAAAATAATCAAGTATACATAGGCAATATAAATCCATTTACGGGATCGAATCTGAACAGGAAGCCAGTTTCCCTCTCAGGCGGTCAGGCCAGATCTACTTGTGGAGCGCTGCGGTCCAATTGTTCCGGTGTCCGACTCGCGTGTCGTGGTACGTGGGTTCGAACCCCGACGGGGAACATGGTGCTTGTGTTCTTGGGCAAGACACTTTACTACAATTGCCTCTCTCAACCCAGGAGTATAAAAGGGTACCAGTGAAGGTAGAGGCCAGAATGCGCTGATCTCAAGCTGCTGCAGAAACTGGTCTCAAGACCTGATGAACAGGGGTAATAAGAATTGTGAAGCGCTTTGAGACCTTTGGTATAAAGCGTATTTAAGCGCCACAATATTTTTATATTATTGTAATGAATGTACTTATTATTCAAATAATGGGCATTCTCTGCGGCTCAGTTCTAGTGGCGACCGGGCCTCTAATCCTCATTGTATCACACATTATTTTAAAAAAATAATAACATTTACCAACGAACCAAGAGAACAATAAGATCGAAAGAATGAATGCAAATCTATCGAAAAAAAATTCAAGCACCGATATGGCAAAAAAAAACCCTGAGAGTCAGGAACATTAAATTAACCTTCTTTTTCAAATTAAATCTTGATACTTATATACTATATATGATAATATATAGGCCTAATAGCACTTTGACTTCTGAATTTATTGCTTTAGAACTGTACAATATATCGCAAAATCAATCATAGATTACCCCAAGCAGAATTTGTTTATGAATTGAAATGTATGATCACATGCATTGTGGTGTTTCAGAAAATAAGCGGCCATCTTTTTCTTAAATACTAAATCTGGTAGTGTTCATCTCGTGAACATATACATGTAATGCTCTGTGAGGTAAGATCGTCTCAGATGTGTACGCATCACGAGGACTGAGCTCACTGACAGGAGCTAGCAGACTATAGCCATGAAGATCTGGCAAGAAACCATAGATTAGAAGCTATCACACAGTCCCTGGACTGGTGGACACGGCTTTAGGTATGGTCAATGTTCTTTAGTCCCAGAATATGAAATTGATGAAACCATAGTTCCCCCCCCCCCCAAATATTTACACGAGAGAAGATGAGGTGCTGTGGTCCAATGGTTACGATGTTCGACTCGTGTGCCGTGGTACATGAGTTCGAATCCTGACCGTGGGAACATGGTGCTTGTGCTCTTAAGCAAGACACTTTACCATTATTGCTTTGTCCTTCGGATGGGATGCAAAGCCGTAGTGCCGTGTGTTGTGTAATGCACGTTAAAGAACCCAGTTACACTTACCGCTAAGAGAAGAGGTTTGCCCCGGTGTTTCTAGCAGTGGCTGCAATATGCACCGCAGCACCTTGTAAATCCTTATAAAGGTGCTAGAATAATGGGTCTCATAGTTCTCATTATAACCTTGAGGGTTTGGGGAAAGCAGTGCCTTTACCCTCATTAAAGATGACGTAAAAAAAACAAAAAAACATTGACTTTATAATTTTTCCCTCAAAGTAAGAATTTCCTCTGAAAGTAACTAAACCATAAGCAAAGCAAAAAACACAAATATTAAGGTAAAATGACAAAACCAACTGCTCTCGAAGAATTACCCCAAGAGAAACAGATTTTGACAAGAGGTCCTTTAACACAAGTTGGCTTCCGTAAAACATTAATAAAAATATTTATATGTTTAAAAAATATTTAATTTTTTTTACAGATAAAACGAGTTGTAAAGTAAAATCATTGATAAAAAGCAAAACTGACATTATAACGGGAATGCCAAGTTGCTATATGTAGCTCTATATTAAATTTTGATATCCTATAATGGATATCTTCTATAAACAGTCTGAGTATTGCAATTTGATGATGCCCGAATTGTGCATTTTGAGCATATACCAGAACTCGCCGTGGAAGTTGTGTTTTGTAGACTGTGTGACGTTGTCGTGATAGTGATACGATACATTCCTGTTCGCCGGAGATTTCTCGAAAGGCCAGGCCCCGAACAGGTTGATGTGCTCACAAAACTCAAACGCTGCTGTCAACAAGTACAACCCTGCACGGAAAAACAAAGTAAAGATGGCAGCTTATCAACAGTGTATAGGGGTGCCCATCCGCCGAGCTCATGAATAAAAGTTATACCTTCAAAATATTCTATATTAGAGAGTGCTGAGAGCCATAAATTGAGGAATTGAGGAGATTATGGTAATGAACCTCTGGCCCGGACTTGGGGCTTCCAATTCTGGGCCTTTTGGATACAATTGGGCTCGAAAGTGGTGCTATTTAACCATGTTGTGGAGGCATCGTTTGTCATGATTGCTTCTTTTCCGCTTTGGGAAAAAAGGATCGTCTTCTTTGGGTGAGAATCCCTCGAAAAGTCAATGGTCAACCCACCAAAAAATGAAAAGAAAATTAAAGATGACATGTTGATCAACATTTTTTCTGTGCAGCTTAAATACCTTTGAAGTTCTGAGTATTCTAAAAAGAATTCTGAATATGAGCATTTAGCACTAGTGTCTATGGGAATTTTAATACAGGGGTGCACCCATACTAGGCCCACTGATCCAAATTTGGATGGCTCGTCGGCCATTACGAGATGTACAAGAGTGCAGACCAGGAAATCGGTCCAAAAGTACCTACGCCGGCCAAATCACGATTTGCATGCCTTCGAATTCTTCCGAATAAGAGCATTTTCTGGGCCATGAACTTGAGGGTTTGTAAAAAAAAAAAGAAGGGTGGAAGCCGTGTACAGGACTGTGAGCTTGTATTTCTGTGAAATTTGGATCATGATTAGGCCCTAAAAAGGCTCTTTTCAATTGTGGCTTTTGTTGTGTCAATTGTCACAGTGTGAAAAGCTATCAGGTGGGGGGAAGACATTTCACCATGAAAAGTGGCGCAAGTCTCCAAATAGACCCTTTCATAAAATTGGTCACTGCTCAGTGAATGTAAGGACATGATCAGGATGTCATTTTAAAGAGGAGATTCAACCCTAACAGAGGTTATCGCCCTGTGATTCACATGTGCCCTACTTCTGTTCCAATTAGCAATAACATCTCGGTTTCGGGTTTTTTTTTTATCCACTCTGTAGAACGGAATCGGGCATGTGTGTGTGCGGTAAACGTTGCGGTCTCCGCAACTGTGAAAAAAAACGTTCTGGTGATCTGGTGAACCGCGGTAAACTCGGAAAGGCGTGCGGCGGGAAATGTTACCTGTGGTTGGTAATTTCCTCGTGTTCAGAATCGGTTGCCATAGCGACTTGACAGCCAAGAAGTGCCTCGGGTCTCCGTAGACCGGTGTCATCAAATCCCCTCCACTTAATGTCTCGGCTACCCTCAGCGATATCTTCTGAAACCCACTGATCCCGAACGCAGGGAGCATGAGGAGGCTCCCCTGGCCCCGGAACTGCTCCATCTTCGCCTTGAAGGCTTTGATGTTTGCTTTGGACTGCAGGGACCCAAACCTGGCGAATCAATAATTGACATGGTTATTTTCGTTATGAACTTCTCTATAACAAATTATTATTAGAAATACTTTTTAATGCACCGGGATAAGAACACCATATCATAAAGATCACTCTGTAGATGTTTGGAGTGGGTCACGACAAGTTCTGAAAATAATATGACAATCACCAATCACCGATGCAAGTTATTCATATGAAACTTTGGATTTTTTTTTAGGGTGGGGGGACGGCAGATTCTAAAATAAAGTAGGCCTTTACTAATCTCCTTGATCTAAACCCATACAAGATGTATGTGTATAAATCTTGAGGCGTTTCTTTTACAAAAAAAAGTACACTGCAAAGCCTTTTCACATACCCAATGGGTGTAGGCCTATTTTAAACAAGTTATAAACGCCATTTACTACAGTACAAAAAAACTAGGTTAACTTTTGAGTCAGATTCGTTGTTCAGATATCCATGAAGGCCTACCAAGCCAGTAGAAGGTTTTGCAGCTTCCTTTAACTGAAATTTGACTTTTGAGGAATAACAAATGTTATACAGGGTGAGTAAAAAAAAAAGCGGAACCCAAACCCCAAAAATTACATTTCATATTAAAAAAACAAAACATGTAGCACCAAACATAATAACGACTGGAAAGCCAATTTCATAAGCTACTTTTAGAAGAAAAATAATATTGAAATTGCTCAATCCGTTCAAAGAATATCACCATTTAAACGCAATGACCCTGTTTCGTCCCAAAAAAACCTCAGTTTAGTGTGTATTCTGACTGTTTTGAACAACAAAGAAAATGACACAGAATACTTGTTGCAACAACTGTCAACAACTGAAGTGCACAATATCTTTATTAACAAACCTGGTTAGGCAAACAATATGATTTATAAAATCTAACTTTTTTTTTTAAAGACGGGCCTCCAAACGGACTTTGTTGAATATTTTTAACTTTTAAACTGAGGTTTTATTGCTGGTGATGTTTAAAGACAATTGTGACGACGATTCTTGAATTCGCATTTTTGGACGAAAGAGGTTTCAAGGTCATTGTATTTAAAGGGTGATCCCCCTATTCTTTGAACGGATTGAGCAATTTCAGCATTTTTTTCATCTAAAAGTAGCTTATGAAATTGGCTTTCCAGTCATTATACATATTTTTTAAATATATGAAATATAATTTTGGGGCTTTGGGTTCCGCCTTTTGACTCACCCTGTATGTAGGCCTACATTCCGTTTTAAGTTGTATAAATACCTGTTTACGAGATGTTTTCAACGTAAACGGAATGTATAAAATGAATAAAATGTGTACCTATTTCGGACGTAAGTAGGGTTTAGCGTGGTGAGATTCGTCTTGCGACCAACGTCTGCTTTGAAACCGCTAACCGTAGCCACGTTGAATCTGGCAACAAAATAAGAACGTTTTTGAAACTGATTGCTAATCAAACGTATTATAAAACGTCCCGACCTTAAAAAAAATAACCAAACTTAACCACTGTCAGGACTGTTTCACTCTTTTTCTTGACCAGCTGAATAATCAACGGTAATATAATTATTGTCAATGAAATGTTGTTCTAGTTTTCAAAATGTAGAAAATGTAAAGCTTGCCTATAAGACAAGTCGCCATAATAATGGTACGAACCCCCACCCCCCCCCCGGCGAACAATTGCCCCCATCCCCCACCCCCATCGGCAAAGACCATAAAATAACTACAATCGTGTTTTTTTTCTTTGTGGTGTGCCCCCTAGAAGCCACTTCCCCCCCCCCCATACCCATAGCTGGCGACGGTGCTGGGCCTTGCACACAAAATGCTTTTGCCATCGGTTACTACATTACTGTTTTTATTGGACATCCCTTATCATATTCAAAGCAATAATGTAATAAATGGGAGATGATGTTAGCGTAATATAAGTATCTGATAAGATTTGAAGGTTTGCATGGTGAAGATAGCAACAAGGTAAAGTTTACGGTTGCATCATGCAACGTAGGTTGTGAGGTTCTGAAAGGAACCAGGGAAACTCAACGTCTCCTGACGAGGGGCAGACTATGGTCGAGTTCCCCAGGCCGGCTCTTTCTCGAACCTAACAAAATAGATTTGTTATGGTGCTACTGTAAACTTTATCTTGTCTGTTGACCAATGTATCTACAGGGTGAGTAAAAAAAAAACCCGAAACCCAAATGTCGGGAACATTGTTTCAGTGAAGTTTTGCATATAGCATTTTCAAAATCTAGGATATGAAAGCCCAATTCATAAGCTTTCTTTTAGTACAAGAATCATTCAAATCACTTATGTACTTTTCCAGTTACGGAATTTCAAACACAACCACCGTTTTATTGTTCCGTCCACGGATCACACACAAGGTGTGCGTTCTTTCAGAAAATTGAGAACAATTTACATGCAACCTATATGTGATTGTTTTCATTTTGCTGAAAGAACACTTTACCTTTTTGTGATCCGTGGACAGAATTGTAAAACGGTGGTTGTTTTTAAAATTCCGTAACATGAAAAGTACATTAGTGATTTGAATGATTCTTGTACTAAAAGAAAGCTTATGAATTGGGCTTTAATATCCTAGATTTTGAAAGTGCTACATGCAGAACTTCACTAAAACAATGGTCCCGACATTTGGGTTTCGTTTTTTTTACTCACCCTGTAGAGTGCGTTGAGACATTTTTTTCTGGTCAGAATAATTTCGATAACCTACCTAATGACAAATTCTGCTTTGTCGATCTCGTGGCCACAGCCTGACCCAAGTAGAATCCCACTGGACCCGACAATCGAGCACGTTTGGAACCGTCTGTCAGACCGTACAATGGGTGTCTAAAACAGCAATACACACAGAACAAAAAAAGGCATTCAATTTGCCCTTTCATCACTTGTGTGCAGGGTCAAAGACGCCCAAAATAGGAAAACAGTAGGCTTTTTTCGTAAAAAAAAATACCTACAAATTGGACATTCGTTAGGGAAAAGAGTTTTGTTTAAGAGCATGCACGAAAACGCATCTTTAATCGGATCATTATTGTCCAATCGTAGTCTTTTTTACCAGTTTTACCCTAAAATAAACGCTACAGATAAGCACACACCGTGCGGAGAAATATGATAATCCCGACTGTAAAGATTTAAAGAACAAGTTGTCTTCGAAGATAGTTTTATGTGAAAGAAATCACTAATTATAGGAATATACCGCGTTTTTTCCCCTTCCACATTTTACCATTCTATTTTTATTCTGAATCTGATGAGAATGCCTCATCGACTAGGGAATTGATATTTTGCACAGCCACGAACATTATGTTCGGTCCAACTGTCCGTGTGTACTTGTTTTTTTTCTGTTTTGTGTTTGTCCGTCCAAGGCATCTTGCCACAAGCCTAGGCTTCCAGAAGATGCTCCACACATATATTTCGCCGTTTTCACCTTTTTGACAAACTCCATTAATTTATTTATGTACTTAATCGGTTTTCTCATGCTGGTATTGAAATAAATGTGAGTTTGAATTGAATTTCACTGAATTGACAAATTATGTTGCCATAAGCAACAAGGTCTGTTCAAGCTAACGGTCACACTCATCCATTCAAGGTATGAGTGAGGTGTGCTAATGAATGATCGATCGCTGAGTACGTGCGCTATATAATGCATACTGCATGTACGGTAATAATGACCTTTTTTTTGCAATTTCTTGTCTATTCGCCATTTTGTGCTTGATTTCGCCTTTATTATAATGTGCCTGCGTTATCACAGCACTTTCCATGTAAGCCTCGAATCCTTATTCTGGCATCCTGACTCGTGCGCAAAAAAAACACAAACATTCTTGTTTACCTGTGAAATACGCTATAGCTACCTGTGTTTTATGTTTTCAGGGCATATTATGATCATTTGCTTTTCATGCCTTTTGTTCTTTTCCCAATAATAACTCCACTCGAAATCCAAAGAAGAATGTTCAAAAACCTAAACTGTTGAAGTTTCAGCTCAGTGGATATTGTACACCTTTCGAGAAAACAATGCCATGATGCCTACAACATTTTGATCACGAAACACAATTTCGTCGATAGAACTCTTTATTTCACAAAAGAAAAAACAAACAATTGACTGATTGGAAATCACCCACATTAATTCATTTTTTCTCGATTTCTTCTAAATGACAGCAAGCCAGACGAAATAATTCCACAGGTTGTTTAGTTTCAGTAATCTCAGTAAGCTTTTTGATACGATCCACGAGCGAGTTATATTTTGGATGAATGGATATGATCCTGTATTCCACTCTTGTTTCTCTCTTGTTTTATCTTATATTAATTATGGGATATTAGCTCAACAGATTGTTGATTTTACAGAAAAAAAACCTTAGAATTATCCATTTTGCTGATTTTCGCACTCATTCCGACCCTCTTTTCTTGCAACACAATACTTTAAAAATTCAAGATATTTACAATCTCCAAACCGGCTCTTTCATGTTTCAATTCATTAATAAGGACCTCCCTAGTGTCTTTGATTTTTTATTTTTTTTTAATGTAGAGGTCCACACCCATACCCATCAAACTAGACAAGCCTCTCAGTTTCATATCCCCGATACTCGCACATATTTTGCCCAAAAATCAATCAGATACTGTAGCCCTAAATACTGGAACTCCCTCCTAGCCCCTAATCTTAGCTGTTCCGAAACTGTGTTTGCTTTCAAGAAAAAGCTCAAAATGCCCTTTGTTCTAAGTATTCTTGGCCTAGTTATTATCTAATTAAAATTATTTGTCTACCTCCCCTTTGTATTTAATTCCATGTTGAATTTGTTTTCTCCGTCTTTGTGTTCTGTCTCTCTGTGTATTACATTGTAAACGTTCTTGTATTGTGTGTTATGTAACTTTACTATGTAACAATAGGGGACCCATACCTCACAAGCCCTGCTTCGAAATGTGGTCCCCTCCGCTACGTCACCAGTTTTCTTTAAAAGAGAGTCTTTCTTTAGTCTTTAGTATCCTTATATTATTATTGCTCTCGCTCAATGTATTTATTTACTTATTGTTGTGTCAAAGTGGAAACAAACCAAACTTGAACTTGAACTTGAAATTAAAATCACAACACATATTTATTAAATCGCTAGTAATTCACAGTCGCAACACTCACCTCCGGCAGACTGCTCCAGAGTGATTCTGATACATTCTGTGGTCGGCCGCTTCCGTAAAACGGCAGACTGTCTCCAACTTTAATATATGCTTTTGTCAGGTAAAAGGGATACGTTTTACCTTCTCTCCACAGCGCTGATACTAGGTACTGTCTGCAATTATTCAAAACAAACACTGAATTTAAAGGCAAACAGGATCATTTTGCATTTATCCCCAAAGTTAAACGTACCGAATTATTAGCAAAGACCTTACTTGCATTAAAGATCGTATACTGGTACTAATCACCCCGTGAAATTATTTCGTCTGGCTTGCTGTCATTTAGAAGACATCAAGAAAGTGTGTATTGGTGATTTCCAAAGAAATGAAGAGTTGTGCAGACGACATCGTGTTTTGTGATCAAAAGGTTGCGTATTATGGTTTTCACTGTTTTCTTGAAAAGTGTAACATCCACTCACAGAGAGCTGAAACTTCAACAGGTTATAGGCTTTGAACGTTCTTCTACGGATTTTGAGTGGTGTTGTCATAGGAAACGAACAAAATGCATGAACAGCAAATGATCATAATAATTATATGGCTGTAATATTGCACGCTATGCTGTAATATTGCACGCAAAATTATGTCAGAACACTGAACAAAAAGTTGGGTGAAACACTACAGGCAGTGTTATTTGCCAAACATTTTGTGTGGCTGTAATATTGCACGCTATGCTGTAATATTGCACGCAAAATTATGTCAGAACACTGAACAAAAAGTTGGGTGAAACACTACAGGCAGTGTTATTTGCCAAACATTTTGTGTGAATTATATGGCTGTAATATTGCACGCTATGCTGTAATATTGCACGCAAAATTATGTCAGAACACTGAACAAAAAGTTGGGTGAAACACTACAGGCAGTGTTATTTGCCAAACATTTTGTGTGAATTTTTCCTTTCACTAAAGTTTCAGAGGGTTCCATGCATATTGGATTTTTTTTGAAATGCACTTATACATGTTCCTCTTAACATATTTTCAATCTTCATTTTGACATTTTCAAGTAGTCTTTGAGTCTTTTGTTATAGTTTTTATGCTAATGAAATTTCCATATTCATTAGCAAAAAAAATCATGATGTCATTCAAGGCAGAAAGTTCACTTTTATACAACTGCTTTACAGAATCAGAGATGGGTAGGATGTTTAAATTTTTGCTGCGGCAATTTTCATGCTTGTTGTAGTGAATCATTGTTGTTCCAGTACATGCCAACTGATCAATGATTAAGCGTTATTAACAAAATGTTTTCGTTGGGCAAATTTTCCAGTTCACAATTTTAACAGAAAAGCAATTGAAGAGTGTGTGCCTAAAGTGAAATCACGGCAACAGCGCCCTCTGTTGTCTGGAAAACCAAGAAAAGTGTGTGTTTAAAAAAGGGCACTTTTCCCTCCCAAAAGCACGGGAATTTCTCATAGTTTTCATACATTTCAGGGGAATAGAAATATGCATAAATATACATTCCAGTGTAAATTCAATGCATGTGGTGTTTTTTTTAAGTTAACCGTAATACGCACCTAAATGTGTCGAGCTCCTGTTGATTGCCTGACCATGACTTTAAAAGCGTTGCATTCAGTTTACCAACTGCCGCCATTAACTCAGGAGTAGTAAATCTAGACCCATATCTCGCTTGAAATAAGCTGAAAGATACAATAATTGTTTTATTGATTACATTTCTTTACCCAAGGTATGCCCATAATGCCCAAACCGCAAAGAAAGGGTTTCCATGCATTTGGGCCCTATATAGGCCTACATAACAAAGTTGTCAAGCTGCTAAAGCAAGAAATTCATATAGGAAAAAAGTGCTTTGGTGGCAAAGACTATAGGACCATTATAACAGATACTTTGAAAATATTTACAAGAAAAACAGCTTTAAAGATGGGGCAGGCTGACGTCTATTAATTTGCACATCAGTTTTCATCGGCCATGAGTTACCATCCAGCACTCCAGGACCAGAGTTGCTGACTCGAGTCATGTGACTTGGACTCGAGTCGGACTGGAGTCGCTATTTTTGTGATTTGTGACTTGACTTGTAAATACCAACTTTGACTTGTGACTTGACTTGGACTTGTAAACAATGACTTGTGACTTGACTTGGGATTGCAAAAAATGACTTGTTACCAACCCAAGTCAGACGCTACTCGAGCGACCCAATACACTTTAATTAAGCTATTATACTTTTAATTAGCTATCGGTTTACGCCTTACGTGCATTAAAAAACGGACTTTGGCTTGCGAGGTTTCTACTTCGCCCAGCTGCAGCTGTAGATCATATCAGTGAGCTGAGCTGTTACGTTGCGTAATGCCTGCCTGCACTTCTGGTTGGTAAATAAGAACAGCCTCCCCAGACTCTTTCCTCTTGCTATGAGGGTGCTGTCTGTTCCTGCTACTATAGCTCCCCCATCGAACGTGTATTCAGTCATGGAGGAATACTTATGAGGCCACACACCAAAGTTGAGTGATACTATGCTATCAAATCTTGTTTATTTGAAGTGTAACAGTTTGTACATGAAAAAATAGATTTTTTTCAATTGAAGTCGCCCAACACAAGGCCCAAAAAGGCCACTCAAGGTGTTTATAAATGCAGTTTATAGTTGCAGCGAGAAGGTTTCATTCCAGAAAATAGACCTCAGTGACTGAATCCAGTAAAATGAATAGTTCCCACTAGTTTCAAAAGTTTTCAATAAGACTGTCACAACAAACCACAGTTTTCAATGACCAAGTCTCTTGCTTAATGTAATGGTTGAACAAACTTTGAAAGGAACCTTTCATGAAAAGAAAGCAGGCCTTTGTCAATTGCACGTAAAATACCGGATAGCCTAACCCATTGGTCGGCATTATTGAGCAAAATTTACCGTGTGGAAGTGTAAAACTCGTATTTTGTTATTACACAAGTGATGCGTAATAATGTTTTGGGGTTTAAATCAATTTTTGTTTAAAAATGTACTCAATTATTTTACCCAATAACTTTACTCAACAAAAAATTACACTATGTATTTTTAGAGTGGGTGGGCGGGATATAGGGATTTGAGTAGGGGTTAGGATGGGGATGTGTAGGAGTGGGTAAGGAGGGATGGGGAGGATAGGGTAAGTGGGTGCAGGGGGAAGGAGATAAGGATTGGAGTTTGGGTGGGGTTGGGGTGGGGGGCGGGTGGGGGATGGGGTAAGGTTTGGGGCATGTGGTGATGGTGCTGTGTCTACATGTACATGTATACCCATTCTTGTTCTGCATTTGTGGCGACTAAACAAGAGTTCTCCCAAACGTCGCAAGAAGTGAACGGCGGCATTCAAAAAGTAGCCCTATACACCTGACCACGACGTTTGAAAAATCGTGAACCATGGTCAGAAGTGGTGGAGCCACAATGCTACAAAAGTGAACGCCGTGATCACAACTGCCTATGAAGACTGCAATTATTAAGTTGTCCTTTATGGATCATCAGCCGGTCTCTCCAATATGGCTTCAATCTGCGGCTTCCTGTACGCTATCCAGTCTTTGTAGATCGCCGGTCTTCATACCAAGATGGCGAGCCTAGGCCCGCTGTTGTTGTATTACATGTATTTACCTGGATGTAGAGGTCCCTTCCTGATATATCCATCGTTGAACTTGATGATCGTCGTATACCCAGCACAATGCACGGTATAAATTCATCAAGCCTAAACAGCCCGTCAATAGTAATATTAAGAGCACCCTTCGTTTTTTCCTCAACAAAACGTGCATCATGAATTTTTCAAAGCGAAACAGGATCAACTGCCAAATTTTTTTGCCGTCTTCGGGGCTTTTGTGCAAGCTTATACATGACTTGTATATCTATCATCGTTGTCTCGGGGAGGTCATTTTCATTATTAAAATGATGCAAGATATACATGGATATAGAATTCTGCGCGTATCATGTACCGCATACCGCATTGACTCCATTAACTCCGCATTGAACTACAGAATACGGTAGCCGTGACAAAGTCCAAGTGCCCTTTGACCGGTGTCATATCATATCATATGAAAATCCGATTCCTATGAAAATCGGACTCCTTTTCCCTATTATTGGTTAATCCCTCGCACGTGACAGGTCAGTCTCCAGTCTCCTATAGGCCTATAGGCTATTATCATACTTACGCATGCGCAATACTACCAACAAGTCCATATTTCATGGAGTCTGATATTCACGCTACACCGGATTTCAAGTCGGCATTTTGAATTTGTTTGTTTGCTTTATCTTGGCCCCAGCGCAACGGCTACCTCGTTCCCAGGGTCATACTCTTGAACCTCAATACATCAAGGCTGGTAGGGTAACTTGCTTCTTGTATTCCGATTCGATTCCCCGCATCATGTAAGCCTAAGGGATTTGAATCGTGTAGGCCTATACTTGGTGTTTTTTATTTCATTTGTCTTACCTTCAGTGCCAATTATTATGTCCAATCCTCCTTTCAAACAGTACTTTCCGTTTCTCTATTGTAATGCGTACTGCTCGACACCACGGAGACGAGGTTATCGCATCTCCACGCGCCCGGTCGAGCACACTGAACATTACTGCCCGGGTTACATTTTAATCCAAATGGCGTAAACTTTAAGCCAAGTATGTATATAGGGTGAAAACTGTAACGAAACTTGGGCTGCGCCGACCCAAATTATTTGGGTTAGAATTTCTGGGTCAATTTAACCAAGCTTGGGTTACTGACCAAATTTAGTTTTACCGACTAACTGATTGGGTTATTACATTTAACCCCAAGCTTGGGTCATGGCGCTATACTTGGGTTGTATTTACTTAGAACTTGGGGTCAATGTGTAAGCTTCGGTTATGAAGCTACACTTGAGCTGTATTTACTTAGAACTTGGGGTCAATTTAACCATATACCTAAGCAGGCGCGGATCCAGGGGTGGGCCGCGGGGGCACGTGCCCCCCGTCAAATTTAGTCCACAAAAAAAAAAAAAATGAATAAAACAGGGGGAAAAAGAGGGGGAGGAGAGAGAAAAGGAGGGAAGGAGGAGGGCAACCTTCTAACAAAAATACCGGCGCCGATATTAAACATCAGCGGCCTGCAAAAATTGTGTACTGGCCGTATGACACAGTACTGGGAACTCGAGAAGCTTCGAAATAAACTGCGATCCCACCGTACGTACTCCATACGTAACCCTGCATAGTATATCGGTTTATGAAATGCGATTCATTATGAGCGTATGTACCGGTACGAAAAACACGCTCGTGTCTGAGCGCGACATACACGTTGTACGCTGCTCTTTGGACCGCACTATTAGTAAAGGGGTGTGTTTTCGTAAGAACAATTTGCCAGCATTTCTTCCACGCGCTTTTAAGGAGTCTAAAACATGTCAGTTTCCGTAGAAAATTTCCGTAGAAAATCTTACCTTATTGATAAACTGAACATTTCAACTTGATACAAAACATTAGAAAGCATGCAAAAGTTTACAAACTAAGTCTATACAATTCCGTTTCAAAAATAAAATGCACGAAAACAATTATGCAGACGAAAATGGTTATCAAGTGAAAAACAGAAGAAACTTAAAGGAATCGCCTCAGATTGCACCACAGAGCATCCAATTATCAAAAAAATTCCCGGGGCCCTTAAGCGGGCCTTATGCAGTCGAAAATACCTGGTTATCAAGTGAAGAACAGAAGAAACTTAACTAGGCTTGTATTAAGAAATACAAGAGTACAATTTTAAACCAATGAACAAAAAATCAAAAAAACACATGGCGTTACCGCAAACCGAAGCGATAATGAAAAAAAAACCTGCAATCTTCACAACATTTTGCTGAAATGGGGCCGGAATCGCCTCAGATTGCACCACAGAGCATCTCTGGAATCAAAATTTTCCCGGGGCCCTTCAGTGGGCCCGCGCCCCGAACCTCACGCCATAAGACACTGCTCCGCGTTCGCATTAGTCCCTGGTCCCAGCGCATCGCCCGTTGCAACAGTTTACAATCTGAGTCAATACAATTCCTTTTTTTTTTAATACAATGCAAGAAATTATGAAGACGAAAATACATGGTTTGCACATTTGAAGTACACAGTAGCTTAACATTTGTAAAAACAAGAGTATATATTTTTTTTAAATCCTTATAAGCTTAACAACTTTTGCTCAAATAATTCAGGGGGAAAGGGGCCAGGAGTCGCCTCAGATTGCACCACAGAGCATCGAGAATCCAAAATTTCCCGGGGCCCTTAAGCGGGCCCCGGACCCCACGCCGTAAGGGCTTCGCGCTCCGCGCTCGCATTATTACTCGGAGCAAAATGCTCAAAAAGTGTGCCCCCCGTCTAAAGAAATCCTGGATCCGCGCCTGCTAAGGTAGCACGGTTGGCCTATGACCGTGCTTGGGTTGTATTTACTTATTTCCATAGAACTTGGGGTCAATTTAACACAAAACGTTACCTCCTAATGATGCTATTCTGTACTTATATAATTACGACAACCATACGTCCCCTGATGGGTACTGTTGCCACATTATAGACCGGAGCTTCTGCCTGCCAATGAAATTTATCTCGGGTGCAGAAGCGAATCGTTCGTTTGGTTGATGTGGGCTCATCACTACAACCCTTTCGTTCACCCGTAGGTTTGTAGCCACCTGTTCAGACCAGTGGTCGATTTTTACAACATTACTGGTCGGTAGTACACTATTGGTAATTATTACATTACTGGTCGAAACTCCACCCTCAGTCCCGTTTCCATGGACATTGTTCCACCAGTTTGTTTGACTTGGTTGCTCCTGTCAGGGTGTTTGAGCGTGCAACCAGGCTGTCTGCTTCCTCTCACCCATACACTCTAGCTGTGCCGAGATGTGGAACAACAAAAGGCCTACTGTATAGCTGTTTCCCACGTGTTATATCTCTTTGGAACTCCTTATTATCCGTTTCTAGGGAATGAACAACGCATACGTGACGTACTTCCACCAGTGACTCTGCTCCACGAGCAGGGTCTGTGGTGGCTGACCCGGGTGCGTAATTTTTTTTTCCTAGGAGGGTTAGGGGCAATGTCATAAATAATTCAGTTTTTCCTTTGAATCATTGCAAGACTTAGGTTCTCGTTCTATTTTCCCCTTAATTAAAAATTATCTCAGTGATAAATTTGGAGAAGAAAAATAGCTAATGAAAATGAGCAGCGACGACGTGGATTCGAACCAGGGATCTTTGTATCCATAAGCTCATCTCGCTATCTACTAGGCTACTGTGTGGTAGCTCGACGACAACCGTTCTTTAAAATGCTTTAATGTATTGTAACTAGTTGAGTAACTAACAACAATGCTGTTGATGTCATTGTCCGTTCTCATGGATAAACATGAATTATTCATGACATTGCCCCTAACCCTCCTAGGAATAAAAATTACACGCACGGGACTGACCCGTGTCGACCCGGCCGGGTGAGCTAAACGAACGCACCCAATGTGTGCTGAGTTCTATGGGGTTGTACTGGTGTACGTAAGATCATAGGATATTGACGCTACAGGGTACCAGTCGAATCCGGAATTTTCGCGGCGCGCTTGGTCCATCTTGCTGATTTTCGATGGCGTTGGCACGTCGGCAGCCAAGTAAAGGGGTTGTCATTAATTTTGCAGTTGCGTCCATGGAAGAATAATGTTGGCTGATTGGGACGTGGGACTTTGGGAGTAGTTATTTTGTAGTGTTTACGCAGGGTGAATGTTATCTGTAGCAACCTTGTCTTTTCAGCAACCTTCATTGGCTTTTGTAAAACGACAAAATAGTCAATGGTTCGTTTACTGTTTTTGTTTTTGAGGAAATCCAAAACGGTAAAACGAAATAACGGTAGGCCTATGTACCGGGATTGAAGGTCTATATTTGGCCAAAGATTTCAGTGAAGCACTGTGCTCAGTGTCAGCAGTATACCTCGGAACCTGCAGCCTGAGGAAAAGTAAGCACAGCAGATACATCAGCACTGACGGTATGTAACCATTGCTCTATCGCCACGGTGTTCATCCGGCTAAATCCGCCCTATAACTAGGCTAGCATGCCGGAGAAATAGGCATTGAATAGGCAATCACACACCCTTTCGCTATGGTATTTCTGGATCTATGGACCCAAATGGAACGGGGTAAATTGAGAAATAGTCAGGCTTTAATGTAATATAGAATTTCATCGAAGAAAAAAAAATTGGCACTCTCTATATTCTATACTATAGTTATTGTTGTATTATTTACCTAAATGTAGAGGTCCGTTCCTGATATATCCGTCGTTGTTGACCGTCGTATCGGCCACAGCACAATGCACGGTATAAATTCATCAAGCCTAAACAACCCGTCAATGTTAGTATGAAGAGCACTCTTCGTTTTTTTCCTCAATGAAACGTACATCTTTTGAAATGACTTTCAAAGAGAAAGGGAATCTCCTTCCAAAACCTTTTGCCGCGCAGTCGGTGCCGCTTCCGTGCAAGCCTTATACCACAGAGCCAGGAAACATGCTTATACATTGTACATGCATGGCTATCATCGTTGTCATGCACATATACATGTATATGGAAACGTTTGCCAGTTTTTTCATGTCTCAGAAAATATTCTTGACCATACTGGCTGCACAGGGAGGTTGGCTGATATGGCAACCCTCATTATTGTACGTATCTGTACGGCGATACCATTCTCCACCATGGGTGAATGACCAGTGCTGGCGGCGACGAGATGTACATGTACATGTACATGTACATGTACATGTAAAACACTGAGCGTGGAAAAGGCCTATTGCATATTTAGATTTTCGAAATAAGTGTTACATATCCATCGGATTTTATACCCCCTTGTAACCCCTTTAGTTCTAAACGACACATATAATATAATTATGGAAGGATTCCTAATTTATTACTTAATAATATTAGCCATGTTATTGCAGGGAAAAAATCAGTTCGGCAAACAATGCTCTATAAGTACTTCCATCATGGGTTCCATTTTTTCCTGTTTAACATGGCTAATTAAAGCAATAAATTAGGAATCCTTCCATTATATAGGTGTCGTTTAGAACTAAAGGTGCTACACGGTACGGGGGTCAAGGCTTAAATCTGACGGATCTATTGTACGGATCTATTGTAACATAAAACTGAAAACGGGAGAACATGTAATTAACACACAACACGAAGTTCAATGGAATTATAACCAAAATAATCGCAATGAATGCGATTTCGGAAAAAACAGATAATCGAACAGAAAACAATTTCGGCAGATAGCCTCCTTACGTATTTGGTATATAAAATAATACAATAAACAGAACAACAAACGTGCATTCAGCAAGGCACAACGGAAGTTGGCCACGGGAGATCCGATTCAGTGGGTCGAATTTATAAAAACTAGCAAATGCTAGGAAGTTTACAGCAAAAAGTAAAAGCTTTACTTTGGAGTACAAAGCAAATGCTTGATTCCGTATGAATAAATGTTTTCCTTTACTGTTCAGCATTTACTAGACAACAGGTATAGCAAATGCTTCTTACTGTTGGATTGTTTTCATGGACGAATTGTTGAATAGGGTGTCTTTTGTGTGTACGAACTGCCACACACACGGAGGGTTTAAACGTAGGGTAATAGTCCAATTCAAGGTGATGCACAGTACATTGTACATTTGATCCTCAAATCCAGCAGAAATCATGACACTTTTCGCCAGTTGCAGAATACAGAAAGTATATTTTCATCATTCATAACAATTGTAAAGGTCCACAGTGTCCTGTAGACGTTACAATTGCATACAAATCACAGACATGTGTTAAAGCGGGTAAAATCATACCAACATTCAATGCACAAATAGTTTTGTGCATTGAAATATTAAAAAAAAATATAGTTTGCAAAGATTGGTGACCTAAACAACTTTTAAAAAAAGATTTCATTTTGTTCAGTCCCCAGGGTGCGGTTGGATAAAATGTATCCGTAATCATTCTATGCCGCACTGTACGCTAACACTTCTCATATCGTGAACAAAATGCGAAATTATCGTTTCTTCTAGTAATGAAAGTAATAGTACAAAAATATTTAAATTTCGCAAAGATGTTATTAAAAATACAGTGTATGGAATTATATGTAGTTTGTTAACGATTTGTGTTAATTTTGGGGCGATTAATATTAATAAATGCAGCAGTTTTTGCGCAGAAGTATGTGCTTTATATTTTCAAGGTTGCCCCAACCCAGCCTTGAAAAATGACCAGTAAATACTTGAAATCTGAAGCATTTGCTCCTTTTTATTCATACGGAATGAAGTAAACACTTCTAGTCTAGCAGTAGCTAACAAGTAAAAAGTAAATACTTTTAGCTTTCAGGAAATGCTTTCCAGTAAAAGCATTTGCTTAATTTTTATTCTTACAAATGTAAGTAAATGCTTGAAAATAGTAGTAAAAGCAAATGCTAGTTTTTCAATATGTCGGCCTAATTGATTTGTATCATGCACGTCTATACTTGGTGTTTTCATTTCATTAATGTCTTACGTCCATTGCCAATTATTATGTCCAACCCTCCTTTCAAACAGTTATTTTGCGTTTCTCTCAACATATTGTAATCACGGTGTACTGCTCGACGCCATGAGGACGATCGTTATCTCACATTGTTCCCATGCATGGCGTCGAGTACACTAAAAAAATTGCCCGCGGATTAAAATTTGAATCCAAATTAGGTAAACTTGCATTATGAATCGCCAGAATTAATAGGAAATATGACTTCACACCTCTTTTTTTTTTAATTATAGGGGCGTCATTGAAGGTTAAATTGTACAATACACAGTAAGTTGCTAATCCACGTAAGTGCTGGACATGGATTAGCCTAATAGTTATACACCTGTCACACTATTGTATCCGTTGTCATCACATTCCATACATGCCCACTCCATCCAAAAGCACCCAATTCCAGTTACTCACGTATGCAAGTAAATTCTCCTAGTATGCAACTAAATTCCCCAAGTATGTAACTATAGTTAGCAAGGTTTTTAGTAAGGTTTCATGAATAACAATTTAGGCCAAGTTCGCGCAAGGACTATAGTTGACCAATGGTTTACTAACGTTTGCCCGAACTCTGTCTAGTCGACGGTGGTTGACTATGCTAGTCGACTATTTGGAACCAGCCTACTGGGGTTGATTGCTTCGCTGGTAACCAATAGCTGCGCGCATTCATAACGCTAGCAGAGAGCCAGGACCCAGAAGTTTTGCGACGATATTTTGACCAGCGTTTGACTAGAGACGTTCGCACGTTGCTATTAGTGCGCAGACGTAAGCTACGTCACAAATCAACCACTAGTCGACTAATGGTCCTTGCCCGAACTTGGCCCTTAGTTGTCTACCCAATGGTAGACTACTAAGCATTTAAGTATCCTACTAAGGCCTAGTTGGCTGCTAATTTAGTAAGGTTTCATGATTATGACCCCAGGACTCACTGCACGATAGAACGAAGCAAATACAGATTCTTTTCTATAAATTGGCCTTTCAATGCTAGACTAATATGCACATTCGGTATGCCAGTGCTTGAATTATGACTGTATAAAAAAAGAAAGCGTACAAATAACGACTTTGAAAGGGATATTTCTATTATCACCATTTTGCACACTCCTTTTTTTTACGAATGGAAGAGGCACACAAACCATCGTGCGCAATCTTCTCAGGGCCGGCCCCCTCCGACCCACCCCCCCCCCTGGATGGGCCAACGTTCCCAATATCAAAGCGCGTAAAGAAATTTTCTATTGGATGAATTTCCCTTTTGAAGAATTGTAGAGTTCTATACAAAAATACATGTGTGTGTGTGTGTGTGATAATCGCTGCCACATCTACTGCAGCCATAGATATAGAATAAAAAAGTCTTCCCTGGTCTTTTTATTCTTTATCTATGACTGCAGCATGCACCGACGCGACGCTTCGCTCGTACGCGCGCGTAATCTGCAGTCTGGGTGCTAGACTTTTAACGTTGGGCATTGGCAGGAGGACAGATTTAACTAGGTATATGTGTCCTCCCGGACGGCACGACCCGGTGAATTATTTTGTCCGGGAGAAACTTACCAGGGGGACGCGTATTTTTTTTCCAGCATACATCGTATTTTAACCAATCACATCACGCACCCTACATGAATATCACGCTGTGTGGATGGAAGACACTTAGGTTCTCGGAGTGTTTTTCCTTCAATTAAACTCATCCCAACCAACAAAAAAATTGATGAAACATGAGTTCAAACCACAGATCTTGCGGTCATTCCACTATTCACTATAGGCCAGTGCACTGTGGCAGCTCGACGAAAGCCGTTCTTTGAAATGCTTCAATGTACATGCATGACTGAGTGACAGCGTTAACATCCAGAAGTGGACTTTGCTGAGTACCCGTGTAGATGTAGATGTAGATGTAGATGTAGAGCAATGGTGTGACGTTATTGTTATTTTCGTATGAATATAAACATCGTTTAGCTGAATAATCCTGATCATTGACGATATCTGCTGCAGATTAAAAAAAACGCGGGGGCTATACAAAATTACCTTTCACAACGGCACGATATGGGATACACCCGCACCAGACGAAACAACAACATTGAAAGCTTGATCCGCAACGGGGTTTCCGAGAGACTGACTCTCTCATGAAGTCCGACGCCTCATAGGTCCGACGCCTCATAAGTCCGAAATTTCGGACTTATGAGGCGTCGGACTTATGAGGCATACGATTTATTTATTCGGTCCGACGCCTCATAAGTCCAACGCCTCATAAGTCCGACGTCGGAAAAACGAAGCGTTCAAGGCGTCGGACCTATAGGCGTCGGAGCTATGAGGCGTCGGACTTATTATGCCTTTATTTGGTTCGGGATACGATTTTGTCGGACTTATGAGGCGTCGGACCTATGACGCGTCGGACTTATGAGTGGACTCCTTAATTTTTACATTTTTCCGCGGGTTTCTGCGCTGCGGGTGTGCGAGCTGAGCCCTATGTATTTTGGGCTAGTGTAATGTAACCGTTGAAATTATTCCAAACATGTAGTGACATACCTCACTTGTGCTTTAATTATTTTCTTCTATCATCTTTACTTAGGTTGAGAATACGTCGTCACCACGACAAACCACCGTGACCCAAAACATGCACACAAGCGAAAGAAAGGGTTACTTGCCTATAACCGACCCTTTCTCCAACCACCATGTTAATCACGTTCATGATTTTGGTGGGGAAAATGTTGCAACCTGACGCCACTTTTTTTCATAAAATCATCTCAATGAAGGTCAGTCATTGCAAAAATGATGAAAAGACATGAATCTGGGATTTATAAACATTTCCAATTTTGTTAGGAAATACTTAGAAAATGTTCTTGACTCTCCATAGAGTTTGTACACGACCGCTGTTCAGTGGCGTCAGGTTGCAACTTCCCCCCCCCCTGATTTTGGACAAAGAAGAATGAGTGTATCTCAAGGAACAAATCCATGTTGATGCGACATATAAAACACCTTTAGTCGGGTACACACCAAGATGACTATAGCCCACTACTACATTTTGTAATACACTCAACCAAAAAAGAAAGGCCCCCAAATTCTAATACTTTTTTGGTCTAACTTAAAACTACTGGGCACATCTTGCTCAAAATAACGACTAA